CTATTAATACCATAATTTCATAGTGATGAGTATAAAGAATATTTTGAGATATTTTATAATAACTCCAATGTGATATGAGAATATATGTGATTTCCATTATGAATTAGGAATGCTAAATTTTAGTTGGAGTTTACTGAAAGTAAAGATGAAATATTTTTCCTGTGTTCACATTTATCAAACCCTCTGAGATGCTGGTGAGTGGGCGAGATCCCTCCAGCCACCTTTAGTTCTCTTTAGGCCCCAGCTTTTGATTTGGAAAAAAAAACAGCTTAGAGGTAGTCCAGACGTAGTGGCTCACACCTGTAATCCCAGCACTTTGGGAGGCCGAGGTGGGCAGATCACTTGAGGTCAGGAGTTCAAGACCATCCTGGTCAACAAGGTGAAACCCTGTCTCTACTAAAAATACAAAAATTTTCTGGGCACGGTGGCGCGGGCCTGTAATCCCAGCTACTCAGGAGGCTGAGGCAGGAGAATTGCCTGAACCCAGGAGGCGGAGGTTGCAGTGAGCTGAGATTGCGCCATTGCACTCCAGTCTGGGTAACAAGAGCGCAACTCCGTCTCAAATATATATATATATATTGCTCAAGAGTGGTATGGAGGAAGCTGGGGGTCACGAGTAGGCAGCAAAAAAGAACAAGACTAGAGGACTAATAAGTCAGGACTGTGTAGCTAAGTTACAGCAGAAGAGGAGAGTTGTTTGTTAACATATTGAGCAACCAGAGCAAAACCTGATAGAGATTTAAAATCTTTCTTCTAGCTCATTTTTGAGCAAACTAGATTTCTGATAGTCGAAGTCCTTCTTACTTAAAAGTCTTTTTTTTTTAATAGAAATGGGCTCTCACTACATTGTTCAGGTGGTCTTGTACTCTGGAGTGGCCTCAAGCGATCCAACCACTTGGCCTCCCAGAGTGCTAATATTACAGGCATGAGCCACTGCACCTAGCCAAAAATTACTCTTTAGATTCAACAACAATTTTTCAAGCTACTGCTATGAAATTTCCTTTAAGTACCTATAAATGTATTTTTGACAAAGACTGTTATAACATTACCAGTACTTTTTTTTTTTGAGACAGGGTTTCACCATGTTGGCCAGGTGGGTCTCAATCTCCTGACCTCGTGATCCACCTGCCTTGGCCTCCCAAAGTGCAGGATTACAGGCATGAGCCACCACACCCGGCCATCAGTACTTTTTCTTTCTTTCTTTCTTTCTTTCTTTGAGACAGAGTTTCGCTCTTCTCACCCAGGCTGGAGTGCAGTGGTGCGATCTCAGCTCACTGCAACCTCTGCCTCCGAGTTCAAGCAATTCTCCTGTCTCAGCCTCTTGAGTAGCTGGCATTATAGGTGTGCACCACCATGTCTGGCTAATTTTTGTATTCTTAGTAGAGACAGGGTTTCACCGTGTTGTCTAGGCTGGTCTCCAACTCCTGACCTCAGGTGATCCACCTGCCTTGGCCTACCAAAGTGCTGGGATTAAAGGCATGAGCCACCAATCCCAGCCAACATTACAAGCACATTTTGAAAACTTATATCCCTGCATAATCTACTACTCATCATATCCCCTTAAAATTATATTTTTTAGGCCAGGCACAGTGGATCCCGAGGTCAGGAGTTCAAGACCAGCCTGGCCAGTATGGTGAAACCCCATCTCTACTTAAAAAAAAAAAAAATTAGCCATGCATGGTGGCGCGTGCCCCCAGTCCCAGCTACCTGGAGCTACCTGGGAGGCTGAGGCAGGAGAACTGCTTGAACTCAGGAGGGGGAGGTTGCAGTAATCCAAGATTGTGCCACTGCACTCCAGCCTGGGTGACAGAGCGAGACTCCGTCACAAAAAAAAAAAAAAAATTTTTTTTTTGGCTAGGTGCAGTGCCTCATGCTATAATTCCAGCATTTTGGGAGGCTGAGGCAGGCAAGCAGATCACCTGAGGCTGGGAGTTTGAGACCAGCCTGGCCAACACTGTGAAACCCCGTCTCTACTAAAAATACAAAAATTAGCCTAGTGTGGTAGTGGGCGCCTGTAATTCCAGCTATGAAAGAGGCTGAGGCAGGAGACTTTCTTGAACCCTGGAGGTGGAGGTTGCAGTGAGCTGAGATTGCGCCATTGCACTCCAGCCTGGGTGACAAGAGTGAAACTCTGTCTCAAAAAAAAAATTATAGTTTTTTTCTTTGTTATAAACTAGGTTCTGCTTATTTCCTTTACCAAATACCCGGCAATCCCAGACCCTCTACAGTGACTTGTTTAGCCTACATTTATCGTACCCCTGGTTAATATACTGTTCCTTCCTTCCCCGCAACCCTCACTCTTTTTCCTTTTCCTTTTTATTTATTTTTTTTGAGATGGAGTTTCACTCTTGTTGCACAGGCTGGAGTGCAATGGTGTGATCTCGGCTTATTGCAACCTCCACCTCCCGGGTTCAAGTGATTCTCCTGCCTCAGCCCCCCAAGTAGCTAGGAGTATAGGCATGCGCCACCATGCCCTGCTAATTCTGTATTTTTAGTAGAGAAGGGGTTTCACCATGTTGTCCAGGCTTGTCTCAAACTCCTGACCTCAGGTGATCCACCTGTCTCAGCCTCCCAAAGTGCTGGGATTACAAGCATGAGCCATCATGCCCGCCAATTTTCTTATGGAAACATCTGTAACTGAAAAAGTTGGTACCTGGAGTTTACCAGTAATAGAGAAAACTAATGTTTTTGGCCACATTTCCCACATTTTATTCAGTTTTGTCCTAGATCAATCAGAAACCACTGAGACTGTATTTTTTTATGAGACAAGGTCTTGCTCTGTCGCCCATGCTAGAGCTCAGTAGTGGGATCTCAGCTCACTGCAAACTCCACCTCCTGGGTTCAAGCAATTCCCTTGCCTCAGTCTCCCAAGCAGCTGGGATTACAGGTGCCCACCACCATACCCAGCTAATTTTTGTGTGTTTAGTAGAGATGGGGTTTCACTATGTTGTTGGCCATGCTGGTCTCAAACTCCTTACCTCAAGTGATCTGCCCGCCTAGGCCTCCCATAGTGCTGGGATTACAGGCATGAGCCACCATGCCCAACCCTCTTTTTTGAGAAAGGATCTCACTGGACTATAGCGGTGTAATCACAGCTCACTGCAGCCTTGACCTCCTGGGCTCAAGTGGTCCCCCCACCTTAGCCTCTTGAGTAGCTGGAACTACAGGTGAGCATCACCACACCCAGCTAGTTTAAAAATGTTTTGTGGCTGGGCGCAGTGGCTCACACCTGTAATCCCAGCACTTTGGGAGGTCGAGGCAGCTGAATCACGTGAGGTCAAGAGTTCAAGACCAGCCTAACCAATATGGTGAAACCCCGTCTCTATTCTAAAAATACAAAAATTAGCCAGACCTGGTGGCATGCGCCTGTAGTCCCAGCTACTCAGGAGGCTGAGGCAGGAGAATTGTTTGAAACTGGGTGGCAGAGGTTGCAGTGAGCTGAGATCATGCCACTGCACTCCAGCTTGGGCAACAGAGCAAGACTGTCTGAAAAGTAAATAAATAAATAATTTTTTTGTATAGAAATGGGGTTTTGCGACAATCCCCAGTCAGTCTTGAACTCCTGGGCTCAAGCAATCTGTCCACCTTAGCCTCCCAAAGTGCTGCAATTACAGGCATGAGCCATTGCACCCAGCCTAGGATTTGGGATCTTAAGCTGGCTTTAGTTGTAAATTCAGGGAATAGCTACTTTCAGGTAAAATAAAGTAGTAGAAACAATTCAGTGTTGCTTTCCTGATGGGTAGGAGCGAGGTGGGGCCAACTCCTGTGTATTTAGTTTGCAGTCAAGAACTGGAAAAAAAGGCTAAAGGTGTAGGATTTGGTGGGAAGTATATTCATGATGAAGAAAGTAAGAAGAGGGGACTAACCAATCACCATTTTTAGAAGCAAAAAGAAAAACAGAATCATGTTTCAGAGCCTCACTGTGAAGGAACTGTGGAAAACTGCAGCATCCAGGCTGTGACTGTGTTGCAGGCATGTTTTAATGAAGGAATATGGCCAGGAGCCTCAAAGGGATTTTGAGAGTATTATTCTTTTGTATTACTGCTGTTCATCTGTTCCCTTCACTCTACCCCTTTTAAGAAGGGATGGGAGCATAAATTATTGTCCAGTAACGCTATTTTACTTAGACATAAACTGGATAGACTTAGCTCACTTTTCTTCATTGTCCTTTTACCCAAATCCCAAACAAATAAAATCTCCATACATCTCCCTTTCTCTTCCCTCATCCTGCCTACAGGCTCCTCCATACCCTTAAAAAAAATATTTTTTGCTGGCATTTTTATTCTACCATTATATAGTCATCAGTATTGTACTGGCCTTTTTATGGCTAATGGAGCCCAGGCGGGCTGCCCGATGAGGGGAGACAGCATTTGGCCGATGGGGCTGGTATGTGCCATTATTGCTGGCCATTGGGCCTTGGTCCTCTATAGCTCCATCCTGGCTCATTAAAACTCTGAGCCAAATAGCCATGCAGGCGCCTGCTGCAGCACTGTAGGGGCCAAGAAGTTAAATGGTTCTCCTAATCCTGCATAATTTATCTCCCTGTTAGCCCCCTCATAAAAGAGTCCAATTCAGCCCTACCATGGAGAGCTTCATTCTCAATTTCCTATTTTTGTGATGGGCAGCGAGTACCCAGCCCTTCCCTTCTCCCTTTATTATTATTATTAAAAATTGTTTTCCCCTTGTTCAATACGAGTGTGCCTTAATGTTTTTTTCATTTGGAGCCTCCTACTTGGATCCCACTTCACCAACAATCTGTCCACTTCTGTTGTTTGGACCTGATATTACAGAGCAGTCGGTGGTGTGGTCTTCCCCTCTCCTCTTCTCCCTGCCTTCTAGCACCTTTTTTTCTCCATGTCTTCTCTTCTAGTTTTTCTTCCCTCTCCAGTTCTTTCCAGGGACCAACCTCATTGCAGGATGTTTGGTAGGACATTTTAAAAGGGCACTGGATTGGGTTTTTGTTTTTGTTTTTTCACATCTCCATTTCTGTTTCGTTTCAGAGATTTACAAACGAGGACCACCTGGCAGTTCATAAACACAAGCATGAGATGACATTGAAATTTGGCCCAGCTCGAACTGATTCAGTCATCATTGCAGGTATTTGCTGCCCCAAAAGCCACGTGCCTTGATATCACCAGACAGTTAAGATTAATACCAGAGACCAGATGTACTGGGAGCTATACTCCCCTTTTCCCATTAAGAGCCCTTATGTGATCTGCATTTAATCAGGAAAAAGGAACACTAAAAGCTCCCAAGTTTCTATTGTACTCTCTACTCTGTTTTTAATAACAAAATTTGTGTTCTGCAGTTTTTGAGGGTAGGTGTGTTGAGGTTTCGTCTTAACTTTTTTCGGTCTATTACCTTCTTACTTTCTATTTATTAAGACTTTGAAAGATTTACAGACAAAAGATGCTTTTGACATTTTTCTCTACCCACAGTGAAGGGGTGAACAAAAGAATGCAAAAAAGCCAACCCAGCCTGACTGCTTCTCTTCCACTGGGTGTCAGTTTTCCTCCAGCAGGCAGATTGTCAGTTCATAAATTCAACTTCCCTTGTGAACCCAGACACCACTGAGGGAACATTTCCAAAGCTCAAACAAGACATTTAGTCAGTGGGACTTTTCTAAGCCAATGTGGGTGACCTGGAACCTCTCAGCAGTTGTAGATACTGTCTTGCTTGCATATGCCATTCTCAAGGGATCCCTCTTAGCAACTGCTCGCAAACCAGGCAGCAGTTCTGCTGCACCATTTTCAGCTAGACAGACATACAAACTAAAGTGAGCTTTTTCTTTTGATCCATGAGCGGTTCTGATTTAGCTCAATTTAAGCAAGCTTAACTCAATATTTAGTTTCTAGGGTATTTAGTTGGTGGTTATTACTTTATAACTCAGATAAGACAGTTTCTGTATTACTAGCCAAAATGCTTCCATAGACATGGAGAAGGAGAGACAGAACTTCCTCATCATACTTCTATACATGATGAAAGGGACTTGCCACTTGCCCTTACAGACCTCCTATTCCTCATTAATTCAGCATATATTTATTTCATATCTACTATATACACCAGGCACATTTGCTAGGAGCTTGTAGATTTGTAATCCTTAGGAAAAGGACATAAATGGAAACATTGTCATTAGTGATCCTTAGGAAAACCTGGGGGAAGGTCAGGTGTGGTGGCTCATGCCTGTAATCCCAATGTTCTGGGAGGCCGAGGCAGGAGGATCACTTGAGGCTGCAAGTTCAAGACCAGCCTGAGCAACATAGGGAGACCTCTACAAAAATGTTTAAAAATTAGCTGTATGCCTATAGTCTTAGCTACTTGGGAGGCTGAGGTAGGAAGATTGCTTGAGCCCAGGAGTATGAGGTTACAGTGTGCTATGATTGCACCCCAGTCTGGACCACAAAGCGAGACCCCATCTCTAAAAACAAAAGGAAAAGCTAGGGGAAATCTTAGGGAATAGTGGATAGGGTATGCGTATAGTAAGATATAATTAATTCAGGACATATATTCATAAAGTCGTATTTGCAGACAAGTATAAGTGAATACTGCAAACTATATGAATACTAAACAAGTTAATATTAAGTAGAATTAATCAGAGGAAGTTTATTTGAGAGGTACGTTTGGGGCAAGGTTATAAAGTTGGAGAGATTATTCCAAATTGGTGGAAGGGTCTACGCCAAGTCTCCAGGGGTGGTAAGGAAGTTGCTCCAGGACACTCTCAAGGAGAAAACGTGTTCTTCTGTTACTCTTTGCTCTCAGTTCTAGAATGCTCATCTTGTTGCATGTGACTTCAGCTATCATATATCTACGTTGGTAATTCTCTTTTTTTTTGAAACGGAGTTTCGCTCTTGTTACCCAGGCTGGAGTGCAATGGCGCAATCTCGGCTCACCGCAACCTCCGCCTCCTGGGTTCATGCAATTCTCCTACCTCAGCCTCCTGAGTAGCTGGGATTACAGGCATGTGCCACCATGCCCAGCTAATTTTTTGTATTTTTAGTAGAGACGGGGTTTCACCATGTTGACCAGGATGGTCTCGATCTGTTGACCTCGTGATCTACCCGCCTTGGCCTCCCAAAGTGCTGGGATTACAGGCTTGAGCCACTACGCCTGGCTACGTTGGTAATTCTTACATCTCCAGTTAAGACCTGGTATGTCATGTATTCCAACCCCTTATGTGAACATTTTTACTTGGCTGTCATTCCAATCTTTATGTCAGTAACTGAACTTACCTCCTTGTCTTCTAAACCAGCTCTTTCTCCTTTATTATTCATTAATATCAATATTCTTAAAATCTTGGTTGTTTTATTCTTCAGATTCTTTCTGTTTTATTCCTTTCTGTTGTTCCCTACCATCACATTCTTTATGCTTAGATTCCTCCAAAGTCTCCTTGCTGACCTCCTTGATTAGTCTCTCATTCTAATCTATGTTGTATACATAGTATTGAAAAGCCAGGGCCGGGGCGGTGGCTCAAGCCTATAATCCCAGCACTTTGGGAGGCCGAGGCGGGTGGATCACGAGGTCAACAGATCGAGACCATCCTGGTCAACATGGTGAAACCCCGTCTCTACTAAAAATACAAAAATTAGCTGGGCATGGTGGCGCACGCCTGTAATCCCAGCTACTTGGGAGGCTAAGGCAGGAGAATTGCTTGAACCCAGGAGGTGGAGGTTGCGGTGAGCCGAGATTGCACCATTGCACTCCGGCCTGGGTAGCAAGAGCGAAACTCCATCTCAAAAAAAAAAAAAGAAAAGAAGAGAAAAGCCGGTCTTCCCTAAATTCTCTCTTCTAGTCAAAATCTATCATTATCTTCCTGTTATCTCTTTATTTATTTTTATTTATTTAATTTTTTGAGACAGGGTCTCACTCTGTCGCCCAGACTGGAGTGCAGTGGCATGATCTTGGCTCATGCAACTTCCACCTCTCAGGCTCAAGTGATTCTCCTGCCTCAGCCTCCCAAGTAGCTAGGATTACAGGTGCACGCCACTTGCCACCCAGCTAATTTTTGTATTTTTAATAGAGACGGGGTTTCACCATGTTGGCCAGGCTGGTCTTGAACTCCTGACCTCAAATGATCCACCAGCTTTGGCCTCCTAAAGTGCTGGGATTACAAGCCTGAGCCACCGCACTGGGCTCTTTTCTCTTACTTTAAGACTAAGGCCAGACGCAGTGGCTCACGCCTGTAATCTCATCACTTTAGGAGGCCAAGGCAGGTGGATCACCAGAGGTCAGGAGTTCAAGACCAGCCTGACCAACATGGGGAAACCCCATCTCTACTAAAAATACAAAATTATCCAGGCTCAGTGGCTCATGCCTGTAATCCCAGCACTTGGGAGGTTGAGGCAGGTGGATCATGAGGTAAGGTGTTCAAGATAAGCCTGGCCTCCTTGGGAGGTTGAGGTAGGAGAATTGCTTAAACCTGAAAGGCGGAGGTTGCAGTGAGCTGAGATTATACCACTGTACTCCAGACTGGTCAACAGAGCAAGACTCCATCTCAAAAAAAACCATGTAAAATACAAAATTAGCCAGGCATGGTGATGCACACCTGTAACCTCAGATACTTGGGAGGCTGAGGCAGGAGAATTGCTTGAGCTCAAGAGGCAGAGGTTGCAGTGAGCTGAGATCGTGCCATTGCCCCCAGTCTGTGTAACAAGAGAGAAACTCTGTCTCAAAACCAACAAACAAAAAAAGACAAAGGCTATTTATGCCTGGATTTTTAGGCTCTTCATAACCTAGCACCATGGCATTCACCCAAGTTTTAATTTGTTCCTTGTTTTGAGGGGTATTTTTTGGAGACAGAGACTTGCTCTGTTGCCCAGGCTGGAGTGCAGTGGTGTGATCACAGCTCACTGCAGCCTCAAACTCTTGGGCTCCAGCCATCCTCCCACCTCACCCTCCCCAGTAGCTGGGACTACAGATGTGCACCACCACACCCAGCTAATTATTTTATTTTTTGTAAAGATGGGTTCTAGCTTTGTTCCCCAAGTTGGGTCTTGAACTCCTAGCCTCAGGCAACCCTCCCCCCTCAGCCTTCCAAAGTTCTGGGAGGTGTGAGCCACCATGCCCAGCCAAGTACTTATTTTTGTACACTGTGATGCTTTCTACATATATTAGTTTTATTTCCTCTACTAGAAAGCCTTATCAGCTGAGCACTGTGACTGACCCTGTAATCCCAGTACTCCAGAGGTCAAGGTGGGAGGATCACTTGAGCCCAGGAGTTAGAGGCCAGCCTGGGCAACATAGCAAGATCCCATCTCTACAAAAAATTTTAAAATTAACCAGGTGTGGTGACACTTGCATTTAGTCCCAGCTACTTGGGAGTCTGAGGCAGGAGAACCACTTGAGCCCAGGAGTTCACGGTTACAGTGAGCTACGATCACGCCACTGCATTCCACGCCACTGCATTCCGGCCTGGGTGACAAAGCAAGACCTTGTGTCTAAAAAAGAATGAAGAAGAAAAAAGAAAACATCTCTGGGGCCTAGTGACACAGTGGCTCGCACCTGTAATCCCAGTGCTTTGAGAGGCACAGGCAGGAGGACTGCTTGAGTCCAGGAGTTCAAGGCCACCCCTGGGCAACATGAGACCCATCTTAACAAAATTTTGTAAAAATTAGCCTCAGGTCAGACACAGTGACTCATGCCTCCAATCCCAGCACTTGAGGAAGCAGAGGCAGGAGGATCGCTTGAGGCCAGGAGTCCGAGACCAGCCTGGGCAACATGATGAGGCACCCGCCTCGATATGAAAATAAATTAGCTAGGCATGGTGCCACTTGCCTGTACTCCAGCCACTCAGGAAGCTAAGGTAGGAGATACTTGTGTTGAAGAGTTCAAGGCTGCAGTGAGCTATGATGATGCCACTGCCTCCGGCCTGGGTGACTGCAGAGTAAGACCCTGTATTTAAAAATAAATACATATATACATACATACATATATAGCTATGATCACAACACTGCACTCCAGTGTGGGTGACAGAGTGAGACCTTGTATCTAAAAATAAATATATCCTTCATAGATACGATTAGCCAAGCATGGTGGGACACCCCTGTAGTCCTAGCAACTTGGGAGGCTGAGACAAAGATTGCTTGAGCCTGGGAGTTCAAGGTTTCAGTGAGCTATGATCATGCCACTGCACTCTAGCCTGGATGACAGAGCAAGACTGTCTTTTAAAAGAAAAAAAGAAAACAGCCAAGTGTGGTGGCTCACACCTGTAATCCCAGCACTTTGGGAGGCTGAGATGGGCAGATCACCTGAGGTCAGAAGGTCAAGACCATCCTGGTCAACATGGTGAAACCCCATCTCTACTAAAAATACAAAAGTTAGCCGGGCAGGATGGTGTGCACCTGTAATCCTAGCTATTAGGGAGGCTGAAGCAGGAGAATCGCTAGAACCCGGGAGTCGGAGGTTGCAGTGAGCCGAAATTGTACCACTGTATCCAGACTGGGTGACAGATTAAGACTCCGTGTCAAAAACAAAAACAAAAAACAGCCTGGGCATTATAGTGAAGCCCTATCTCTACAAAAACTACAGAAATTAGTTAGGGTGATGGTGCATACCTGTAGTCCCAGCTACTTCGGAGGCTGAGGTGGGAGGATTGCTTTAGCTTGGGAGGCAGGGACTGCAGTGAGCCGAGATCACGCCACTGCACTCCAGCCTGGGTGACAAAGTGAGACCCTGTCTCAGAAAAAAAGAAAGAAAGAAAAAGAGGCCAAGCGAAGTGGCTCACGCCTGTAATCCCAGCACTTCGGGAGGCCGAGGCGGGTGGATCATGAGGTCAGGAGATCGAGACCATCCTGGTCAACATGGTGAAACCCCATCTCTACTAAAAATACAAAAAATTAGCTGGGCATAGTGGCGCGAGCCTGTAATCCCAGCTACTCAGGAGACCGAGGCAGGAGAATTGCCTGAACCCAGGAGGCAGAGGTTGCAGTGAGCCAAGATCGCGTCATTGCACTCCAGCCTGGGTAACAAGAGCGAAACTCTATCTCAAAAAAAAAGAAAAAATATCTTAATTCTCTACAGCCAAGAGCCATGTTTTCTTTTTTTTTTTTTCCTCTCTTTATTTTTTTTTTATAGTGACGGGGTTTCACCATGTTGGCCAGGCTGGTCTCAAACGTCAAGTGATCCTCCCACCTCAGCCTCCCAAAGTGCTGGGATTACAGGAGTGAGCCATTGTACCAGGCTTTTTTTTTTGAAATGGTGTTTTGCTCTTGTTGCCCATGCTGGAGTACAATGGCATAATCTCAACTCACTGCAACCTCCACCTCCTGGATTCAAGCAGTTCTCTTGCCTCAGCCTCCAGAGTAGCTGGGATTACAGGCATGCGCCACAATGCCTGGCTAATTTCTGTATTCTTAGTAAAGACAGGGTTTCACCACGTTGGTCAGGCTGGTCTCGAACTCCTGACCTCAGGTGATCCACCTTGGCCTCCCAAAGTGCTGGGATTACAGGCATGAGCCACGGCACCTGGCCAAAAAAAATTAGTAAGTTTTTACTGAATACTTTCTGTATGTTTTGGTGCTACATGAATACACTTTTGTACATGCCTGGTGGAGGAAAGGGATAGGAATATAGGAGTATTTCCCAGATTTAAGACATGGCTCTTAGGCTGGGGGCAGTGACTAAGGCCTGAAATCCCAGCACTTTGCAAGGCCAAGGCAGGAGAATCCCTTGAGCTCAGGAGTTCAAGACCAGCTTGGGCAACACAGTGAAACCCCGCCTCTACTAAAACTATAAAATTAGCTGTGCGTGGTGGCACATGCCTGTAATCCCAGCTACTCAGAAGGCTAAGGCAGGAGAATTGCTTGAACCCAGGAGGCGGAGATTGCGGTGAGCAGAGATCACGCCATTGCACTCCAGCCTGGGTGACGAGTAAAATTCTGTCTCAAAAAAGAAAAAACATTTACTGATTTTTTTTTTTTTAGGATTCATTAGAGCAGACTCATGATACTCTGATATATTTTCAGTCTGTTTGTTCACGAACCAGAGCCATTTGAAGGTTAGAGGCCGCTTGCAAAGTGAGGAATTAGGTTTAACACAGGGGAGCCTTTAAAAAATGAGAAATTAGCCTGAACAGCAGGGTGCAGGGGAGGTTTGTTTGAGCCTCATATCAGAGGCCTGAAAGTCCCTCTTCTGCCATAGCCATGCCCTTAGCTGCCCCTTCCTGTTCCACTTGAGTTGTGATTCTGTGTATGCCCTTACTAAAGTACTCTCTAAGCATAAGGATGATATTACTTCTACTCACCCAAGGATGGAGGGAAAGTGGCTTTATCGTTAGCCAACCAAAGCTGCCAGAGAACCTTTTAAAACTATTTAGAGAAGTAGTGGTAACTTTTCCAAACACTCTGATTCAGAAGAGGTTTTGTTTAAATGTTTTTTTATAAAAATTGTGCTGTTTCCATGGAAAATCCCACTGCACTATTTTCAATTGATCATGCTAGAAGGAGTGATTTCTTTTTTTTTTTTTTTGAAACAGTCTCACTTTGTCACCCAGGCTAGAGTGCAGTGGCAACAATCTCTGCTCACTGCAACGTCTGCCTCCTGGCTTCAAGGGATTCTCCTGCCTCACTCTCCCAAGTAGTGGGGACTACAGGCGCCTGCCACTATACCCACCTAATTTTTGTATTTTTTGTAGAGACAGTTTTACCATGTTGGTCAGGCTGGTCTCAAACTCCTGACCTCAAGTGATACTCCTATCTCAGCCTCCAAAAGTGCTGGGATTACAGGCATGAGCCACTGAGCCTGGCCAAAAAGGCGTGATTTTAATCCTAAATCTCACTCCTTAATGTATCATTTAAACATTGTTCTTAGCCAGACGCGGTGGCTCATGCCTGTAATCCCAGCACTTTGGGAGGCTGAGATGGGCAGATCACGAGGTCAGGCGTTCAAGACCAGCCTAACCAATATGGTAAACCCTGTCTCTACTAAAAATACAAAAATTAGCCAGGCGTGATGGCGCATACCTGTAATCCCAGCTACTTGGGAGCCTGAGGCAGGAGAATTGCTTGAACCCAGGAGGTGGAGGTTCCAGTGAGCTGAGATCACGCCACTGCACTCCAGCCTGGGTGACAGAGCATAATCCATCTCTCCAAAAAAAAAAAATTGTTCTCTATTTCTGTCATTCATTCTAGTGGTTTGGGGTATGAGATTAATCCCTGAAGTAGCATGCCAAGGAAAGCCATCGTAATAGAGTTAGGATCTGTGAACAAGATTCAGCTCTAAAAAAGCAGCGTTGTGAGGGAGAAGCTCAAACCTCAAATTCAAGTTGCTTAAAAAGTTCCCATGGGTTATCAAGAGGCTTTCTCTTCCCAAGGGCAGAGGAACTATGTTAAGGAGAGATTCGTGCAGCCCCTGTGGGGATATTTTGGCTGGCAAAATCGAAATATTCTGGTTTCCAGAACTCACTCTGGGCCTAGGTCTCTGTGAAATGAGCCCCACTGTTTGCAGTTTCCATTTCTAGCTCATGATCTTGCTGTCTTACCCCTCAGCCGCTAGATTTGCCTAGAATCCTTCAGAAGGTAACAGACCATTACCTCAGCGACCATTACCTCAAAGACAAGGCACTATTTCTTTTTCTTTTTTTTTTTGAGACAGGGTTTTGCTCTTGTTACCCAGGCTGGAGTGCAATGGCACGATCTCGGCTCACCACAACCTCCGCCTCCTGGGTTCAGGCAATTCTCCTGCCTCAGCCTCCTGAGTAGCTGGGACTACAGGCGCGTACCACCATGCCCAGCTAATTTTTGTATTTTTAGTAGAGACGGGGTTTCACCTTGTTGACCAGGATGGTCTCGATCTGTTGACTTCATGATCCACCCGCCTCGGCCTCCCAAAGTGCTGGGATTATAGGTGTGAGCCACTGCGCCCGGCCAGGGCACTATTTCTTACTTGGTAGCTTTAGTCAGCAAACTCAACCATCTGATCCTCAGTTTCTTCTCATCAAATTTTAACATCCATCTGCTTTTTCTGCTCACTTCAGACTTAGCAGGGAGTGAGTTTACAAAAGAAAACATTGCTTAACTAGATCTAGGGGTTTCACAAAACTGTGCCACCTGCATGCGTGGTTTGGTTTGGTTTGGTTTGGTTGGAGGTAAAGGAGGTAAAACTAGCGCTGAGAGAAACGTGGGTACATGGATAGTCACACAACAAAATACTGTTCTGTCTTCCCCTTGCTGGCTTTGAGGCAACACAACACAGACACCCTCTGGTGGCCTAGCACCAGCCTTTGCCTACTAGAGCTCTATTAAAGCAAATTTGCCCTAACACAGAGACTCTATCTGCAAATCAAAAAGTACAAATGCATTCTCTATATACTACATAATAGCAAGTTTTAATTTCAGATCAAAACTAAAAGTTTCCTTTTCTTTCATGTTTACAGATCAAACTCCTACTCCAACTAGATTCCTGAAGAACTGTGAGGAAGTGGGACTCTTCAATGAACTAGCTAGCTCCTTTGAACATGAATTCAAGAAAGCTGCAGATGAGGATGAGAAAAAGGCAAGAAGCAGGACTGTTGGCAAAAAACTGGTGGTATTCAGACCTAGGCTATTTTTGTTGTGCTTTGGGACAATTTGCTTAATGGGTTAAAACACAAAATCATGGGCTTAGTACAGTCAAGCCAGATAGCAGTCACTAATCCCAGTCAGCCATTCAGGTCTTTAGGAGTTCCAGATGATGGATCAGCACAAGTCTGTCTTCACCAAAAATTAGTCCTCTTGTTCCTCCAGGGGAATATTAGATTAATAATCCGTTTTTTAAAAATTATTTATATTGGCCGGGCACAGTGGCTCACGCCTATAATCCCAGCACTTTGGGAAACCGAGGTGGGTGGATCACGAGGTCAAGAGATCGAGACCATCCTGGTCAACATGGTGAAACCCATCTCTACTAAAAATACAAAAATTAGCTGGGCATGGTGGCACGTGCCTGTAATCCCAGCTACTCAAGAGGCTGAGGCAGGAGAATTGCATGAACCCAGGAGGCAGAGGTTGCGGTGAGCCGAGATCGGGCCATTGCACTCCAGCCTGGGTAACAAGAGCGAAACTCCGTCTTAAAAAATAATAATAATTATTTATATTATAAATATGTTGAAGATCTTAAAAGGTTATAAATTACTCAGATTTTGTTAGATAACATATTTGTTGCCAAATCCCACTCTTTTCTGAGCTGATCAGACTTCTCAGCTGCACTGTTTTTTTGAATCAGCAAGTCAATAAACATTTATTAAATTTCCACTCTTCTTTGTTTTAATATATGTGGTTTTTGCCTTTAAGTAGTTTTCTATTATTATTCAAAGCATTAAAGAAAAGAAGGATGTTCTTACTGTCTTTCAAAGGAAATCAAACAGGACAGTGAAAGAACTAGAAACTATGTCACTTCAGGAACTTTTAAAGAAATCAAGTGGCCAAGCACACTGGCTCATGCCTGTAATCCCAGCACTTTGGGCGGCCAAGGTGAGAGGATTACAGGAGTTCAAGACCAGCCTGGGCAACATAGCAGGACCCCCATCTCTACAAAAAAAGTTTTAAAAATTAGCCAGGCATGGTGGTGCATGCCTGTAGTCCTAGCTACTCAGGAGGCTGAAGTGGAAAGATTGCTTGAACCCAGGAGTTCAAGGCTGCAGTGACCTATGATCATACCACTGTGCTCCAGCCTAGGTGACAGAATGAGACCCTATCTCTTTAAAAAAAAAGTCGGGGTGGGCGGCCAGGCTGGACACGGTGCATCACGAGGTCAGGAGTTCAAGACCAGCCTGACTAACATGGTGAAACCCTGTCTCTACTAAAAATACAAAAAGTAGCTGGGTGTGGTGGCATGCACTGTAATCCCAGCTACTCAGGAGGCTGAGGCAGGAGAATTGCTTGAACCTGGAAGGCAGAGGTTGCAGTGAACTGAGATCGCACCACCGCACTCCAGCCTGGGCGACAGAGTGAGACTTTGTCTCAAAAAAAAGAAAGAAATTGAGGAAATTTTGTTTGGAAAAGAGATTTAGTGTAAACAAATCGCAGTCTTCAAGAGCATTCAAGTAAAAGAGGGATTACATTTATTCCATGTGGCCCAAAGGTAGAAGTTGGATCACTGGGTGATCTATAATATCTCTACTAAGTGGCCTACATATAATTGAATACAAAATATGTTCAATTATATGTAGGCCACTTAATAGAGATATTGTAGAGAAATCCCTTCTAATTCTGAGATGCTGTGATTCTGTAATCCTGAGCCTTTATATAGTCCAGATCCCTAGAGGATCCCTTAGTTTGGAAGACCAGAGGAAATACCTGAAGAAGCAGAGTCAAAAGAAGATAGTTCCCACAGATAAGGGACTTGAGGGAAAAAGAAAAATGCAAAGATAAAATTTTACTGTAGAATTAGAATTCTAGGTTATTGGTCACTATTTTTGAAATCGAGTCTGTGTTCCTGATTTTCTGGAATCATAAAAGATTCCAATATCTCTATCCTAAAACATATGTATTAACACATTAACCTCTCAATTGTATAGTATAGTGAGGCATGGGATCCTATCAGAATATAGAATAGCTGGAACTGCTTCTGGTTTTCCCTATATTTAAGAAAAAATTTCCATGGAAGCTCTTTCCTTCTAAGAGGGAGTAGCCAGTAAATCAAGATAGTTATACATGACTTTTCCATCCAGTTTAAGTGGTAAGAAAGCAAGATAGTATCTTTATCACTGGAGTTATTTCCAAGTTCCATAGATTTCTATGAGTTTCTTTTTATGTTGTTTCCCTCAAACTAACAGAATGAGGGCTGCATGGGGCATGGTAGTTCACACCTGTAATCCCAGTGCTTAGGGAGGCCACAACAGGAGGATTGCTGGAACTCAGGAGTTCAAGACCAGCCTGGGAGCATGGTGAGACCTATCTCTACAAAAAATTTAAAAATCAGCTGAGTGTGGTAGTACACTCTTGTGGTCCCAGCTACTCAGGAGGCCAAGGCAGGAGGATCACTTGAGCCTAGGAGGTCAAGGCTGCAGTTAGCTATGATCAAACCACTGCACTCCAGCCTGGGCAATGGAACAATACTTTGTCTTTATTGTTTTATTTTTTCCAGACAGAGTTTTTCTCTGTCACCCTGGCTGGTGTGCAGTGGCACAATCTTAGCTCACTGCAATGTCCACCTCCCAGGTGTAAGCAATTCTTCTGTCTCAGCCTCCCAAGTACCCAGGATTACAGGTGCATGCCACCACATGCAGCTAATTTTTTTGTATTTTTAGTAGAGATAGGGTTTTGCCATGTTGTCCAGGGTGGTCTCAAACGCCTGAGCTCAAGCAATCTGTCCATCTCAGCCTCCCAAAGTGCTGGGATTACAGGCATGAGCTACCGTGCCTGGTCCAAACCCTGTCTTTAAATAAATTAATAAAGTGGGGAAATTCAGTGGCATATACTTGTAGTTCTACTTTTTTTTTTTTTTTTTTTTTTTAGGCAGTTTCACTCTCTTGCCCAAGGGTGAAGGGCAGTGGCACGATCTCGGCTCACTGCAACCTCTGCCTCTTGAGTTCAAGCAGTTCTCCTGCCTCAGCCTCCCAAGTAGCTGGGACTACAGGCACATGCCATCACCATGCCCAGCTAATTTTTGTATTTTTAGTAGAGACAGAGTTTCATCATGCTGGCCAGGCTGGTCTCGAACTCCTGACCTCATGATCTGCCTGCCTCAGCCTCCTAAAGTGCTGGGATTACAGGCATGAGCCACCACACCCAGCTAAATTTTGTGTTTTTTTTTTTTTTTAAGAGAGACGGGGTTTTGCCATGTTGCCCACACTGGTCTTGAACTCCAGGGCTCAAGCGATCCACCAGCCTCAGCTTCCCAAAGTGCTGGGATTACAAGCGTGAGCCACCACACCTGGTCTTATAGTTCCACTTTCAAATGGCAGAACTGGCCACAGTCTTCTCATCATTCATTTTTATTCATGCATTCATTGACAGGGTCTTGCTTTGTCTCCCAGGTTAGAGTGCAGTGGTGGAATGATGGCTCACTGCAGTCTCCACCTCCTGAGCTTAAGCAGTTCTCCCACCTCAGCCTCCCAAGTAACTGGGACTACAGGCATATACCACCATGCCTGGCTAATTTATTTTCAGAGAGATGGGGTCTTAATGTGTTGCCCAGGCTGGTCTCAAACTCCTGGGCTCAAGCAATCCTCCCACCTCAACCTCCCAAAGTGCTGAGATTACAGGCATGAGCCACCACACTTGGCCTATGTGGGATTTTATACCCAATTAATTATTGGCAAATTCAAGAAAATTAGCCTCCCGTAAAAAGCTTCAAGTCTTTTTCATTGCCATTTTAGCTCAGTGGACACTTCTGGGAGACTAGTTCATAGTCAGTCAGCCCTTTCCTCAGGGCATTCCTTGGTGTTTCTTCCTGCCTATTCAGGAGTGGTCTTTACTTCTCCTTGATGAGAAGCACAGATTGTCTCCAGGAGTGTTTAATGAGCATGGAAATTTCCTGAACCACAGCTCTTCTAGGAGATGCCCTATAGAGGATTTCAAATGTATGGTTGTATTTATGTAGAGGCTTCTCCTTCCCACTAATCTCAGACTTAAGAGATCTCAGAATTAGCTAAATTGGACCTGACATCTTAGCAGTGTAGAAAAAATGAGGCAGAAATGAAGCCACCTTTGCTGTTGCTCACCCTCATCAGATTGGGGAAAAAGAAGTATTACTACCTTCCCTAATGTAGTAGATACCAGATTATCTTTAATTTCCTCAGCTAGCTATCAAGAAGGTTTCTAAGGGTTAAGGTAGCAAGGGAAGAGCTAGAAACAAGCAGTTGCTTCACCAAGAAACCTGGGATACGTTATGGATAGAACAAAGGATCCACTTTGTCATGAAACTGAACTGCAATGCCAGCCCTCCTGTCCTGCGGTGTCAAGGCCGTTATCTCAAATGGTTTACTGTTTCCTGCAAGGCCATTTCCACCTCCACAGTTCTGTGAGGTGGTTGCATCATTGCCAGGAAAGTGCTCTCTTTACTTTCTGGGTTTCTCCAGTCTTGCTCCTAAGACCAAGTTCTCATTTATTTCACCAATCAGATGATTAGCCTTTCTTTTCTTTGTTACGCCAAAACCCTATCTACCTGGTGTATCTAGCCTCCAGCACCAGGTTTTGGGGTGAAATCACCATCAAGCATGGTGAGTTCCCCAGGAAATACCTTTCCTATCTTGTTTGCAGTACTCGAATAGCCAGTTTGTCTTTGTTTGCTTTTAGTAATTGGGTAATCTAGTCATCCTGTTGGCAGAGAAAGTGTTGACAGTTCTCCAGTGGCCAGCAGATTCAGGAATCATTTTGATTTCCTGAAAAATACTATAATATTTGCATGGATTTAAATGACATCTTTTTTTTCCGGTCTTTATAAATATTTGTTCACCTTTGGTGAAGCAGGTATAATCTTCATCTTATGGTTAGGGACAGAAGCCCTGAGAATTACTGATAAAATGATTTGGCCAGAGTTCTACATAAAACATAAGGGGCCCAGATTTCTTTGACATGCAGTTCAGTGCTTTGACCAAGAGCTGAACTTGTTGGAAGCACATTCCCTTATCTTGGACCTGGGAAAATATAGATTCAACCTGAAAGGAATCATAGGGTTAAACTGTTCATTTTTCTTTCACAACAGGCTGCTGCTGGGCCCCTTGACATGTCTCTACCTTCCACACCAGACATCAAAATCAAAGAAGAAGAGCCAGTGGAGGTAGACTCATCCCCACCTGATAGCCCTGCTTCTAGCCCCTGTTCCCCATCACTGAAGGAGAAGGTAAAATTCTCTACTAAGGGTCATCTCAAATGTTAATTGATAAAGTTTTGATTTATTAATTATACAAATAGTGTGTCCTAACTACTCAGGAAGCCAAGATGGGAGAATCACTTGAGCCAGTGTCAAGCCCAGCCTGGACAATGTGGAGAAACCCCATCTCCACTTAAAATACAAAAATTAGCTGGGCATGGTGGAGCACGCCTGTAGTTCCAGCTACTCGACAGGCTGAGGTAGGAGGATCGCTTAAGCCCCCGGAGCTCAAGGCTACAGTGAGAGCTGTGATTGCCCCAGTGCACCCCAGCCTGGGCAACAGAATGAGACCCTGTCTCAAAAAAAAAAAAAGAGGCGGAAGGAGGCGACAGCAAAGAAAAAATAAACATAATTAACAAAAATAATTAACGTTCCTTTAAATACAATAACAAAAATAATTAACATTCCCTCCCTATGTTAACAGTCCTCCCTATAGGAGGACGGATTGTATTTAAAGGAATGTTAATTATTTAGAAGATTTATATAAATTATACCTATTCTCTTTCTCAGCAATTCCACTTCTAAGTCTCTATGGAAGACAAATTAGTGCATATGTCTACCAAAAGAAGTATGTTAGAATGTTCATAGCAACTGTAGTCTTTTATTTTTCTGTTTTTTTGAGATGGACTCTTGCTCTGTCGCCCAGACTGGAGTACAATGGTGCAATCTCAGCTCACTGTGACCTCTGCCTCTTGGGTTCAAGCAATCCTCCTGCTTCAGCCTCCTGAGTAGCTGGGCACACCCAGCTAATTTTTGTACTTTTAGTAGCTGGGCACACCCAGCCTGTTTGTCAGGCTGGTCTCAAATTCCTGACCTCAGGTGATCCTCCTGCCTCAGCCTCCCAAAGTGCTGAGATTACAGGAGTGAGCCACCACACCTGGCCAGCAATTGTATTCTTAATAGCCAAAAATCAGCCGAGCACAGTGGCTCATGCCTGTAATCTCAGCACTTTGGGAGGCCAAGGTGGTCAGATCACTTGAGGCCAGGAGTTCGAGACCAGCCTGGCCAACATGGTGAAACCCTGTCTCTACCAAAAATACAAAAATTAGCCAGGTGTGGTGGTGTGTGTCTGTAATCCCAGCTACTCAGGAGGCTGAGATAGGAGAATTGCTTGAACCCAAGAGACGGAGGTTGCAGTGCCCCAAGATCACGCCACTGCACTCCAGCCTGGGTGACAGAGTGAGACTCTGTCCCAAAAAAAAAGAAAAAAGAGAAGTGAACTGATATTTACACAGCAATGTGAATGAATCCCACAAATATATTAAACAACAACAAAAAAGTCAGACACAGAAGTACATACTTATGTAATTCAAGAGGCAAAACTATTTGCTGATGAGAGAACTCAGGATAGCATTTATCTCCTGTGAAGGAGTGGTGTGGATTGGGAAGGGACATAGAACTTTCTGGGGTGTGAGAAATGGTCTGTATCCTGATTTAACATTTGTGACAAGTCATTTTGTTTTTGTCTTTTTCTTTTGAGACAGAGTCTCACTCTGATGCCCAGGCTGGAGTGCAGTGGTGCAATATCAGATCACTGCAACCTCTGCCTCCCATGCTCAAGCAATTCTCATGCTTCAGCCTCCCAAAGTGCTGGGATTACAGACGAGAGCCCCTGCACCCAGCCTAAAAGTCATCTTGTTGTCATGACTATAATGCACATCACTGTATGTTATACTTCAATTAATAAGTGAGAAAGAAAAATTCATATAATTCATAAATTGGACATCAAACAGTTTAGAAAAAAATGTCATCCTAGAGGGAAGTGATTTAAAGGAAGTATCTACTAGGAGTCTGATTATTATTATTTTTAAAGGAAACCTTTCATGAAGACTATTTTTAATACATTTATTGAAATATAGTACATGTACAGAAAAGTGCATAAATAGTAATTATATAACTTACTGAATTTTTATGAAATTAATAGCCTGTATAACCAGCACCTAGAGCAAAAACATTTTATTAGAACCTCAGAAACCACCTCAGGCTTCCTTTCAGTCTCTACTGCTCTACCAGTGGTTATTAATTTTAACATCCACTATGGATAGAGAGCATCTATACTTCATCTTACTTCCCTCCAAATTTGGCTTGATAATCTCCACCTCTCTCTTCCCCCTACCTTTTTTTTTTCTGGAGACAGAGTCTTGCTCTTTCGCCAGGTGCCAGGCTGGAGTGCAGTGGCATGGTTTCGGCTTACTGCAACCTCTGCCTCCTGGGTTCAAGCAATTCTGCCTCAACCTCCCAAGTAGCTGGGACTACAGGTGCGTGCCACCATGCTCGGCTAATTTTTGTATTTTTTAGTAGAGACAGGGTTTCATCAAGTTGGCCAGGATGGTCTTGATCTCTTGACCTCTTGATCTGCCCGCCTCGGCCTTCCAAAGTGCTGGGATTACAGGCATGAGCCACCACCCCCGGCCTCCCTCCCTCTTTTCATCAGCAACAAAGTCCTAGAGACTGTCTGGAGATGCTCTCACGGCCATTATGACCACTGGCAGTCTAAGATCTTAAGAAGTTAACATGAGAGCAGTTTGTTTTATTACAGTATGATCATTATCCAAACTTTCATAGCCCTTTTTAAAGAGGTGTATTGGAGATACTGGGTTGCCTTATAACCAGTATACCTGCCTTTCCCATTGAAGTTCAGAGGACAGTTGGCATCAAGTTTAGAATGAGAGTATCTAGATTGTGAAAAATTCTAAGTCTCTAGAATTTATATGGTGATACAGTGCTGCTTCAAAGATTTCAAGTGATATTCCAACTGTCATCTTATTTATGCAGCCATTGTCCCTGAAAGGGGAGATGGCCAAGAGATCTTAATGCACCATTCCTCCTGAACGGGTGAGTGAGTTATGGGTCCCTGATCCTGATGGAATCAGGTCACAATTTACATGAGTGGCTCTAATGCTCTTTCCAATAAATTTGTACTAGATTTTACCATCTATGTATTTCCCTATAAGCACACCTTAAAGCATTTTGTGATCTGTTGGTCTCTTCTCCCCAGGAGGTTGCCCCAAAGCCTGTTGTGATCTCTACCCCCACGCCCACCATTGTACGTCCTGGCTCCCTGCCTCTCCACTTGGGCTATGATCCACTTCATCCAACCCTTCCCTCCCCAACCTCTGTCATCACACAGGCTCCACCCTCCAACAGGCAAATGGGGTAAGTACAGAGAGCAGGGAGAAATAGTGAAGGCTACATTTCTTTCCATTACATGAAACTATTTGATAAAACTGGGACTGTTTTTCAATACCCAAGGAAAACAAGTCACTGAGATTATCTCTCAAAATAAATTTCTCCCCCACAAACAGAATCTTTTTTACCTTTTTAATAGACAAGCAAATATCTATTTGGGGGTAATACTTTCTTAATTTTAGGGTTTAATAACTTCTTCAATCTAAAAAGAGGAACCCTTAAAACATTAGAAGTTCATTACAATGTGGAAGCCACACCCTATAAAGTCCGTTGGGGCAGTACTGAATGAAACACTGAAACCCGTTAGGTCTCCTCAGTTTCAGTTAGGGTTCTTGGTGTTTGCTATCTCTAATTTTATTTGTCTGTCTTCACTCCTGGCATGGTACCCATGGGTTAAGAGGCTGTTGTCAGGATTCAGATTCTTAGAGCTTATTGTTCTCTGGACCCACTAGGAAAAATAAAAAGGGACAGCTTCTTTTTTTGGTCAGGGTAGAGCAAACCATGGAAAGGAACAAAAGAAACATTCAGATTTGGCCATCATGTGACCTGATTCAGCTTTGCAAAATGATGACTTTGATCCAACTCCCCCTTTCCCAAGGCAAGCCAGTGGTAGGGATGTGTAATTGTTCTAAACCCTTTAATAGGATTAGCTTCCTACTATTTAAATTTGCTTAATTTGCAAGGTATAAAGATTTTGCCATTTTTCTCTAAAAGGTAAGCTAAGTAGGATTCTCTGCCTTCCCACTTTCATGAGGGTGTCAAGATTTTTACAGTGCTGCCCTATACCTTCCCTAACTAACAAAGACTGGAAATCTTCTGTAATTATAGGAGAAAGATCCATGGACAAAAGGTCTGTGTTACGAGCATTTCACTTCATGTCTCCTCTAGGTCTCCCACTGGCTCCCTCCCTCTTGTCATGCATCTTGCTAATGGACAGACCATGCCTGTGCTGCCAGGGCCTCCAGTACAGATGCCGTCTGTTATATCGGTGAGCTCTGTAGTTGGGGCAGCCAACCCTACCAATGTGGTAATCCTTCCCTTCCACCTGAATGGTCATAAAACACACATGAGCCCTGGGGAAATGTGGGCTCTGATCTGTATTAGTTGAGCATGGCAGCCTGCCTAAACTCTTCCCTAACCTCTGCCAATCCAGCACTGCGGAACACTAGATAAAGACTCATCTGGACAATTGGCTCCTGGTCTAGGAATTGATCTTGCCAGCTTGCTGATTAGTTGCTTTCACTTGGCACGTAGCACCTCCCAAATTGCCCAACATTTTCCTCAAGATACAGCCCCAACCCTTCCCACAGAAACTGCCTCAACACTGAAGGATTAGACTCCCTACTCTATGGTGCTCCATTGGGAAAGGTATTTCCTAGGTTGTCCCTGCATGCCCCATGGGCACGTTGCACAGAACAGGCCCTGACATGCCAATCTCAATCCTCATTTTAGGGAAACTGTTGCCCCACCAATAGTATTATGTTCCCTTCTGGTTTTTCCTTCTCTTGATCCAGCTGGCCAGACCTGTGTCCATGGTGCCCAACATTCCTGGTATCCCTGGCCCACCAGTTAACAGCAGTGGCTCCATTTCTCCCTCTGGCCACCCTCTACCATCAGAAGCCAAGATGGTGAGTATATCCCAGCCTGGGGCAATGTTGGCCTTTCTAAAAGAAGTAGGTGGTATCAGCCTAGGTCTTTCAAGTGAGCCAAACAAAGGAACCTTCTGGGGCTTGCAAAGCTAAGGACTCCATGCCATGGGGTTTGGAAAAGAAAAGCCTCTGATTCATAGCTCCCATCTCCTCTCCCCACCTTTAGAGCCTGGTACATAGACCATGGGCAGTGAAAAGAGGCAGCACAGATTGTTTGGAATGGAACACTTGCCGTTTTAGTTTTAGGGTGACAGATGGAGGGTGGGTGAGTGGGCAGAGGAGCTGGCCAAGAGGTGGATAGCTGCGTGACCAGCATCTGGCCAGGCTCCAGGAGAGAGCTTTCATCTGGACACTATTGCGTTAGCAACCCCCAGCCCCCAACTGTGCCCAGGATGATAGCCAGGGAACAGAGTAGGCATTTTAAGGATCCAGGTGCACATTTTCTCTGCCTGTCATTTTCTCTTAATTCCTCTGTTAAGAGAGAATTAGAGTGGAAATTTTACCTATCTGTAAGGTCAATAATAAAATCTAAGGCCACTCTCCTCATCCTTGATAGAATCTCATCCATAACAATCATTTTTTTCTAATCTTTGCCCACAGAGACTAAAAGCCACCCTAACTCACCAAGTCTCTTCAATCAATGGTGGTTGTGGAATGGTGGTGGGAACTGCCAGCACCATGGTGACAGCCCGCCCAGACCAGAGCCAGATCCTCATCCAACACCCTGATGCCCCATCCCCTGCCCAGCCACAGGTCAGTCGGGCTGTTAGATGGGGAAACCACATGTGTTAACATGTGTTACTCTTACTCTTTATGTCCTATCTATTTTTCAAGGAGCAGAAAATTAGAGAAGAATAGACGTCAACTTTCTAGGTTTCTTCCTGCTTACTTTGGTTCTTTTTGGCAGTTTGACTACAGCAAAATGTACATTCTTTTTATTATTTATTTATTTATTTTTATTTTAACTGAGACCATCATTTAATAGCAACAACACACCATTCTTTATTCACCCTTGTGTTAGACTTTCATGCAAACAGACTAAGTAATGCAGAACTATTGCAGTGGACTCCCTTTTTTTTTTTTTTTTTTGAGATGGAGTTTCACTCTTGTTGCCCAGGCTGGAGTGTAATGACACAATCTCAGCTTACTGCAACCTCTGCCTCAAGGGTTCAAGCAATTCTCTTGTCTCAGCCTCCCAAATAGCCGGGATTACAGGCGCCAACCACCATGTCCAGCTAATTTTTTGTATTTTTAGTAGAGACAGGGTTTCACCATGTTGGTCAAGCTGGTCTCGAACTCCTGACCTCAGGTGATCCACTCGACTCAGCCTCCCAAAGTGCTGGGATTCCAGGCATGAGCCACCATGCCCGTCCCCATTTTTTTCATATTTGAGTCATGCATGGTTTAGTTTATCTGCAGAATCCTCTAAAATGTGACAGAGCCTTACTTCAAGCCACACACTAAACAAAAGAGGCCCCCCCTAGTCTCTTTCCCATCTATTAAGTCTTAAAAAATAATAACTTACCTGATAAGATTTTACAACAAAAATCATAATATATTAATGAAATGTGATGTTACAGTATTAAGATACCTCAATAGGCCGGGCATGGTGGCCCACGCCTGTAATCCCAGCATTTTGGGAGGCCTAGGTGGGTGGCTCACCTGAGGTCAGGAGTTTGAGACCAGCCTGACCAACATGGTGAAACCCCATCTCTTAAAAAAAAATGAAAAAAAAAAAAAAGATAACTCAATAAAAAATAGACTAGGCGAGGTGGCTCACGCCTGTAATCCCAGCACTTTGGGAAGCTGAAGCAGGTGTATCTCCTGAAGTCAGGAGTTTGAGAGCAGTCTGGCCAACATGGCAAAACTCTGTCTCTACTAAAAATACAAAAAATTAGGTATGGTAGCATATGCCTGTAGTCCCGGCTACTCCAGAGGATGAGGCAGGAGAATCACTTGAACTCAGGAGGCGGAAGCTGTAGTGAGCCAAGATCAGTCTGGGCAATAGAGTGAGACTCTGTCTCAAAAAAAACGAAAAAACAAACAAAAAACAAGACACACACCAAGAAATACCTCATTACCAATTAAATTCCTTTTTTATCACAAAGAAACTAAAATCCTGAAAAAGCCAGAAGGGTCCCATTAAGTTACCCATTTCTCTTCTCAAGGAGGTCTCAGTTTTAAAAAGATTCTTTGGAAACTGAATAGTCCCCAGTTTTCATATCATCTGCACTGGACAGGTGACAGCACCTGAGATTGGTTTCTAGAATTATACCCTTTGCCTGGCCCTTCTTTTCCTGATGTCACCACCTGCTTCATCAGTTACTGCCACATGTCCAAACATTTCGTGGCCATATGCTACAGTAAAGCTTGGCCAACAACAAAAGCTTTCATTCGAGTTTTCTTGTTGGAAGCTAAGCCTGCCTAGCCTTCTGTAACCCCACCAAAGCCAGTCCTGAAGATGGTAAAGCAGCAGCCCCCTTGCCTGAGTTGTGCTGCCTTCTCTCTTGGGGAAATGATATAGCTTCCTTTTTATTTTTATTTTTTTAATTTTTAGAATTTTTATTATAAATAATAGTAGAGACAGAATCTCACTATGCTGCCCAGGCTGGTCATGAGCCACTGTACCTGGCCAGCTTCCTTTGTTTTTTATTTTAAAATTTTAAAAGAGCAGGAGTCTCTCCATGTTGCCCAGTCTGGTCTCAAATTCCTAGATTCAAGCAGTCCTCCCACCTGAGCCTCCCAAAGTGCTGAGATTACAGGTGCTAGCCACCATGCCCAGCCCCAGCTTCCTTTTTAATCAACACTGATTCCTTTCCTTGTCATTCTTCCCCTTTTTCTCTTGGACTAGTCTTTCACCTCCATTCCTTGCATGAGTTACTGAATTGCCTCTAGCAAAACAAGAACCTTTCCTTTCCCTGTCCTCCTAAAGCACTAATCTTTACATGTGCTCCAGTCAGCTAAAGATAAAGAGGAGGCTGATAATCCTCCAAGAATTATGGTAAATTTCTTATACAGTGAGAAGCAGTGACCCAAGGCCTCTAGATCATTAAACTGAATTGGAAATTTCTTCTTCATTTTTTTATTTTGGGAGAGATAATACTAGTATGAATTTTAAGAAATTTCTTAATTGTTATCTATATTAATGGAGAACATAATTCAGTAGGGCTTAGAGTAGAATACAAGACTCTTTTTCTTTTTTGAGACAGAGTTTTGCTGTTGTTACCCACACTGGAGTGCAATGGCATGATCTTGGCTCACTGCAACCTCCGCCTTCTGGGTTCAAGCAATTCTTCTGCCTCAGCCTCCCAAGTAGCTAGGATTACAGGCAAGCACCACGATGCCCAAGCTAATTTTTGTATTTTTAGTAGAGATGGGGTTTCACCTTGTTGACCAGGATGTTCTCGATCTCTTGACCTCACGATCCACCCGCCTCGGCCTCCCAAAGTGCTGGGATTATAGGCGTAAGCCACCATGCCCCGCACAAAATTTTTTTTTTTTTGAGACAGAGTCTCACTCTGTTGCCCAGCTGGAGTGCAGTGGTGTTATCTCCGCTCACTGAAGCCTCCAAGAATGCCTCGGTCCAAGCATGCCTCAGCCTCCCAAGTAGCTGGGATTACAGGTGTGCACCACCATGCCCAGCTAAATTTTGCATTTCTAGTAGAGGTGGGATTTCACCATGTTGACCAGGCTAGTCTTGAACTCATGGCCTCAAGTGATCCACCTGCCTAGGTCTCCCAAATTGCTGGAATTACAGGCATGAACCACCATGCCCAGCCTTTATTTTTTTTTGAGTCAGGCTCTTGCTCTGTTGCCCAGGCTGGAGTGCAATGGGACAATCATGGCTCACTTGCAGCCTCAACGTTCAGGGCTCAAGTGATCCTCCCACTTCAGCCTCCTTAGTAGCTGGAACGACAGGAATACACCACCATGCCCAGCTATTTTATTTGTTTGTAGAAACGGGGTCTCACTGTGTTGCCCAGGCTGGTCTCAAGCTCCTGGGCTCCAGTGATCCTCCCAACCTCGGCCTCCCACAGTGTTGGGGTCACAGGCATAAGCCACTGTACCTGGCCTCACATATAACTTTTTTTTCTTTTCTGTCTTTTTTTTTTTTTTTTTTTTTCTGTTTGAGTGGGAGTCTCTCTTTGTCACCTAGGCTGGACTGTAGTGGTGTGATCTCAGCTCACTGCGACCTTTGCCTTCTGGGTTCAGGCGATTCTCCTGCCTCAGCCTTGTGAGTAGCTGGGATTACAAGTGTGCACCACCACGCCCAGTTAAGTTTTGTATTTTTACTAGAGACAGGGTTTCACCACATCAGGCTAGGCTGGTCTTGAACTTCTGACCTTAGGTGATCCACCTGCTTTGGCCTCCCAGAATACTGGAATTACAGGTGTGAACCATCACACCTGGCCACATACAACTTTTGACTCCCCATAAACCATACTAATAGTCTACTGTTGACCGGAAGCCATACCAATAACATACAGTTGATTTAACACATATGTTTTATGCTATATGTATTATCTACTATATTCCTACAATAAAGGAAGCTAGAGAAAAGAAAATATTAGAAAATCATAAGGAAGAAAAAATGTATTTACTATTCATTAAATAGAAGTGGAGCATCATAAAAGTTCATCCTCATCATCTTCGCACTGAGGAGAAAGAGGAAGTCTTGGTCTTGCTGTTCCAGGGGTGGCAGAGGCAGAAGAGATGGAGAAGTTGGAAGGGGGTCCAGAGAAGCAGGCACACTTGGTATAACTTTTTTTGTGTGTTTGTTTTTTGTTTTTGTTTTTTTTGAGATGGAGTTTCACTCTTGTTGCCCAGGCTGGAGAGGAATGTCGTGATCTTGGCTCACCACAACCTCCACCTCCTGGCTTCAGCGATTCTCCTGGCTTAGCCTCCTTAGTAGCTGGGATTGGGCTGGGCATGGTGGCTCACACCTGTAATCCCAGCACTTTGGGAGGCCGAGGCGGGTAGATCATGAGGTCAGGAGTTCAAGACCAGCCTGGCCAAGATAGTGAAACCCCATCTTTAAAAAACGGAAAAAAAAAAAAAAGCAGCTGGGATTACAGGCATGCGCCACCATGCCTGGCTAATTTTGTATTTTTAGTAGAGACTGGGTTTCTCTCTGTTGCCCAGGCTGGTCTCGAACTCCTGGCCTCGTGTGATCCACCCACCTCAGCCTTCCGAAGTTCTTCAAGTACCGGCAGGATTCCCTATTGTTAAGAAACAAAAAGTAACCCTAGTTTCATTCGTCTGTCTGTCTTAGAAATAATCAGAGTTTCCAAATGAACTGTAGTTAGTCTGAGACTGAGAAGACTGGAAGGAAAGAGGAGGCAAAATTGAGAATTCCTACAAAAGAGAAGCTCAAGGACATAGTCATGAGACTTGCTGTGGTCACCAGAGGCTGGTACATCTTTTTACCCAACCTTACTACTCTACCTAACATCAGGTGTTATTTGGAAGGGACTCATGTTTCCATCAAGTAACTTCTCTTCCTTTCTGGGCACCAGGTCTCACCAGCCCAGCCCACCCCTAGTACTGGGGGGCGACGGCGGCGCACAGTAGATGAAGATCCAGACGAGCGACGGCAGCGCTTTCTGGAGCGCAACCGGGCTGCAGCCTCCCGCTGCCGCCAAAAGCGAAAGCTGTGGGTGTCCTCCCTCGAGAAGAAGGCCGAAGAACTCACTTCTCAGAACATTCAGCTGAGTGTGAGTGGATCCTGGATGATAATTGAAATTGTTGAAACTCTAGAAAGTGGGATGGAATCAGAAAAAAGTGGGACAATTTGATAGAAGATGCTAATTCTCTAATTAGGACAAATCTAGAAGCTGTGCCAGGAAGAATCTCTTAACAGTCAGAGTTGAAATCTCTTTCATAGGGGTTGGTGAAGACACTCACCATCTACCCCCAAATCTGCTACTAGAATTATCCATAAATTCGTTTAGATGAAGGAATTAGATTAAGCACCCCAGGGTGCTCTTTTAAATCATCTGTAGAATCTGACTGGGCTCATATGTTTTTGCCCTAGATAATGCAGCTTAATAAAAGAGAGAAAGAAAAAAATTGCTACAAGCACAAATAGAATAATTTTAATCTATAAACCATACAGTCTCTTGAATGAATGTTATTTTTCTTTCTTCTGATTATTAAAATATTTAACTAAAAAAGGAATATATGAATACATATTTCTATTATAAAATATACACACAAATGTATGGAATAGAAACAAAGTCCCTCTTTAATCTACCTTTTCTAGTCCTGTTCTCTTCCCTGTAGATAGATTTGGCATGTACCTTTCAGACAGATTCCTATTCCTAAATATTTTTTATTTATAGTTTTTGTGTAGGGCTGGAGGGGTTGTGTGCTTGTTTTAACATAAATAGGTTAATGGTATTTATTGGAAATCTAGCCATGGATATGGGAGATTTACCTCGCCAGGCGCTAGGCTGGAGTACACTGGTGCACTATCAGCTCACTGCAACCTCCGCCTCCCGGGTTCAAGCAAGTCTCCTGCTTCAGCCTCCCAAGTAGCTGGGACTACAGGTGTGTACTACCACACCCAGCTAATTTGTTTTTTTTTTTTTTTTTTTTTTTTTTTTTTGTATTTTAGTAGAGATGGGGTTTCATGATGTTGGCCAGGATGGTCTCAATCTCTTGACCTATGATCCACCCACCTCAGCCTCCCAAAGTGCTGGGATTACAGGTGTGAGCCACGGCACCTGGCCTACCTCATTGTTTTTAATAGCTGTGTAGTAGTATATTCTGTAGTATAGTTATGTTATAAGGTATGGATATTGGCTGATTTTTTGCTAGAACAATGTTGCAGTGAACATTGCATACACCTATTTTAACAGTTCTGGTAAATAGATTCCTAGAAGGAGGCTTTCTTAGTCAAAGAGCATGTGTATTATTAATTTCAGTATAATCATATTTATCTTAAACAGGAGTAATTTTTCTATTATAAATCCCTACTTTTCACTGTAAGCAACTCCTGTCATTTAATTCATGACTATACTGTCCCTGGGCTATCTGAAGCCTTGCTGGATCAGGAGTCTTGTCCCAATTCAGGGGAGAAAATTGAGGCAGTATTCTGTCCTCACTTTGGGAACAGCCACTGAGGGTGCAAGAGTAGAGGATGAATTTTCTTGATACTCTTTTCTTCCCTCCCTCCTCAGAATGAAGTTACATTACTACGCAACGAGGTGGCTCAGTTGAAACAGCTACTGTTAGCTCATAAAGACTGCCCGGTCACTGCACTACAGAAAAAGACTCAAGGCTATTTAGGTGAGTGGCTCACAACCTAAGCTAAGTCAGTCAGTCAGTAAACTGCATGTACTGAGTGTCTCAGCTGCTTAGAATTTTATAACTGCATTCTGAATGTTCTGGGGACCCCACGCTGATGAGTGAGTAGCCCTTGTGGAGCAACTAGACCTAGGAAAAAATGTTTTTGACAACAATATAGAGTTATCCTAATTATCTGTTATAGTTGGGGGTTAAAGGGTAGCAATATTTACCAGATACATAGTTTGTGTTAGGCACGCTAGAGTCTTCCCAAGTCTCTCATGAAATGGATATGTCTATATATGAGAAAACTGCACTCAGATTAGGTCACTTAGCTGAAGTTACCAAGCTGGGAAAGCGGTGAAGCCAAGATTTATATCTAGGTATTTCTTATTCCAAAGACACTGTCTTGGCCTAGAAAAGACATAAACCACAGATGATACATTGGTATTTAGGGTACATTTTATCTTTCTAATGATAGGCTGATGCTGGTTTCAGTTTGTAATCTATGAGCACACATAAAATAGTGCTAGAAGGCAATGGCCATGGAGTTGTGCTCAGGACATGCACAATTCTGAAGTTTAAATTACTGTGAATAATTGGCTTATGGGCAACAAATGCTAGTTTTCTTTTGGCAAATTAAATTCATAGAACTATTGCTATCAAATTTTGATGTATTGAATTATTTTTCCACTGTCTTTATCATTTCAGAGATGTGTTCCCGTAGAAAAGGAGTAACCATATCCCCAATTTTAAACTCTCTACATTTTAATTTTAATATGTACTTCAGGGTGCATTCATTCATTAAGTAGATATTGATGGAGTGTCTATTCTGTGCCAGGCACTGTTTTACATGCTGGGCTTATGATAGGGGAACCAAATAGATTAGATTAAATCCCTGCCCTTGAGGAGCTTATATTTTAGTGGTAAAATAAAGACAGTAAACAAGATAAATAGGTAAAATATATGACATGTTAGATAATAGTAAATGTTAGAAGGAAAATGAAAACAGGGAAGGGTAATATGAAATGTTAGCAGCAGGATGGAAATTTTAGATTAGGTGGCTTTTGAATAAAGACCTGAAGGAACTGAGGGAGCTGTATGCATTTATATGGAAAAAGGTACTGTAGGGAGGAGGATCAGCAAATGCAAAGTGGCAAGGTACCTGGTACATTCTGGGAACATCAAGGAGGCTTGGCTGGAGTTGGGGGTGGAGAGTAATTAGAGAGGAAGTCGGGGAGGTAACAGCAACATTTCATGTAGGTTCTCTTCAGTCATGGTAAGGATCTCAGCTTTTACACTGGGGGCCATGAGAGACCATTTTCAGCGGAAGAGTGATATAATTGATCTGACTAGGCCCGGGGCGGTGGCTCACCCCTGTAATCCCAGCACTTTGGGAGGCCGAGGCAGGCGATCACCTGAGGTCTCGACCAGCCTGGCTAACATGGTGAAACCCTGTTTCTACTAAAAATACAAAAAATTAGCTGGGCGTGGTGGCGCATGCCTGTAATCTCAGCTACTCAGGAGACTGAGGCAGGAGAATCGCTTAAACTCGGGAGATGGAGGTTGCAGTGAGCCAAGATTGTTCCATTGCACTCCAGCTTGGGCACAAGAGCCAAACTGTCTCAAAATAGTAATAATAATTGATCTGACTTACATTTGAACACGATTCCTCTGTTAGAGACATCGGGGTACAAGGGCAGAAGCAGCCAGTCCACTTAGGAGGCTGTTAATAGTAATACAAGCAAGGGATGATGGTAGTGAAAGCGGTGAGAACAGGTTGAATTCAGTACATATTTTGAAGTTAGGGTAATGAGAGTAGATGGGGTGGTACATATGAGAAAAAGAATAAAAAATTGCACCAAAGTTTTTGGCTTGAGCAACTGCAAGAATGAAGTTGTCATTAATTGAGACAGGGTAAAATATGGGGGAACATGGTTTGGGAAGTATATCAGGAACTCAGTTTTGGACAAACTAAGTTTAAGGAGCCTATTAGGCTTACAGGTGGAGATGTCACGCAGGCAGTTGTTATAAGCGTTTGTAATTCAGAGGAAAGGCTGAAGATAAAACTTTGGGAGTTAGCAGCATAGAGTTAATTTTGGTTTTGTTGGTTTTGCTTTTGGATTTTTTTGGAGACAGGGTCTACCTCTATCTCCCAGACTCTCAAGTGACCCTCCCATCTCAGCCTTAGTACCTGGGAACACAGGCGTGCACCACCATGCCTGGTTAACTCCTTTGTTTTTTTAAGAGATGACGTTTCGCAGTGTTGGCCAGGCTGGTCTCAAACTCCTGGACTCAAGGGATCTTCCTGCCTTGGCTGCCCGAAGTGCTGGGATTACATGTGTAAGACACCACACCTGGCCATAGTTAGTTGTTAAAGCCTTAAAACTAGATGAAGTTCCCAAGGGAGACAGCATAGACAGAAAAGGGAAGTCATCCTAGGAATGAACCATGGAGTACTCCAGCATTTACAGTTCATAGAAATGAGAACGAACCTACAGCAAGGAAGTGAGGAGGAAAACCAGCTATGTGGATGAACGTGGTGTTCTGTAAATCAAAATAAGAAAGTGCTTCAAGAAGTTCAGTAATTTTAAACCTTGTTGATGGGCTAAAGAGGATAAGGACTGTTTATCAGTATGTAGTCTACATACAGTCAGTTTTCTACTTAATCCCTGCAAGAACTCTGACATGTAGTCAGTCCATTAAACCACTTATTCTTTTTTTTTTTTTTTTTTTTTTTTGAGACAGTCTCTTTCTGTCACCCAGGCTGGGGTACAGTGGCTTGATCTCAGCTCACTGCAGCCTCTGTCACCCAAGTTCAAGTGATTCTCCTGCCTCAGCCTCCTGAGTTGTTGGGCACCACCATGCCCAGCTAATTTTTGTATTTTTAATAGAGACAGTGTTTTGCCGTGTTGCCCAGGCTGTTCTCGAACTCCTGGCCTCATGTGATCCACCCACCTCTGCCTCCCAAAGTGCGGGGATTACAGGCATGAGCCACCATGCCTGTAATGCTTATTCATTATAGCAAAGATGTATTTAGTTCCTGCTGTGTGGTATAGACATTGTGTAAGTACTTGACACATGTTAAATAAGACATTGTCACTACCTCTGAGAGATTCATAGGGTCATATAAACCTATGAATAAGCTAAGGACAAATATCGCAGTCAAGGATTCGCTGAACTGGGAGCTTCCTAAGGACAGGATCCCTGTTTTCTTCTCTATGTACCCGTGCCTGGTACATGGATGATGCTCAGTAAATATTTGATGAATATATGCTATGAAAACACAAAGAATAAAACAGTTAATTTACTGAGAGTAACAAAGACAGCTTTACAGAGAAGGCAGTATTTGAATCTTAAAAGAAGACTCAGGCATTCATCAGGAAGTCAGAAACAGAACTGACTATTGAAAGTTTGCCTTTTGGCCAGGCACGGTGGCTCACGCCTGTAATCCCAGCACTTTGGGAGGCCAAGATTGGTGGATCAGCTGAGGTCATGAGTTCGAGACCAGCCTGACCAACATGGTGACACCCCATCTCTTTTTTTAATTAAAAAAAAAAAAGGAAGTTTGCCTTTTTTCCACATAATCTCTGTTTAAGCAGCCATAGAAGCTATCTGATGTTTAATACAACTCCTTAACTTGCTGAGTGTGATGACTCATACCTGTAATAATCCCAGCAAATTGGGAGTCTGAAGCAGGAGGATGGCTTGAGGCCGGGAGTTGAAGGCTGCCATGAGCTATGATGGTTCCATGGTGCCTCCATTCTGGGTGACAGAGTAAGACCCTCTAAAAAAACTTTAAAAACATTTAACTGATGAGGAACATGGAGTTACCATTGTATGTAGCTCAGGTACTTGTGTTGAGTAGTAAAATGTTAGTGTCACTTTAGGTGGAGTGGCATAGCTCATAATGTGTTATAATTGTTAATGCCAGCTAAATTTTAGTCAGAAGGGTCTAAATATTTCTTTGTAGTTTTACATGTTAACTGAACCTGGGTCAGGGACTGGCCATTCATAATGTCATTTGATTATAACTTGATATTTATCAGACTTACCTGTGGTACAACTACATGAAAAAGGCACGTTAAAAATAATGGAATAGGCCAGGTACAGTGGCTCGCGCCTGTAATCCCAGCACTTTGGGAGGCTGAGGTGGGTGGATCATGAGGTCAGGAGTTCGAGACCAGACTGGCCAGCATGGTGAAACCCCGTCTCTACTAAAAATATAAAAAATTGTCAGGCGCAGTGGCACATGCCTGTAGTCCCAGCTACTCGGGAGGCTGAGGCTAGAGGATCGCTTGAGCCCAGGAGTTCTGGGCTGTAGTGCACTATGCCGATCGGGTGTCCGCACTAAGTTCCGCATCAGTGTGGTGGCCTCCTGGGAGTAGGGGGCCACCAGGTTGCCTAAGGAGGGGTGAACCAGCCCAGGTCAGAAACGGAGCAGGTCAAAACTCGCATACTGATCAGTAGTGGGATCGCGCCTGTGAATAGCCACTGCACTCCAGCCTGGGCAACATGGCGAGACCTGTCTCTTTAAAAAAAAAAAAAAAAAAAATTAGCTGGGCATGGTGGCATGCACCTGTAATCCCAGCTACTCAGGAGGCTGAGGCAGAAGAATTGCTTGAATCCAGGAGGTGGAGGTTGCAGTGAGCTGAGATGGCACCAATGTACTCCAGTGTGGGTGACAGAGCAAGACTCTGTTTAAAAAAATAAATAAAAATAATGGAATAAGCTAGGCACAATGGCTCACGCCTGTAATCCCAGCACTTTGGGAGGCCACGGCAGGTGGATCACTTGAGGTCAGGAGTTCAAGACCAGCCTGGCCAACATGGTGAAACCCTGTCTCTACTAAAAATACAGAAATTAGCCAGGTATGGCAGTGTGTAGCTGTAGTCCCAGCTACTTGGGAGGCTGAAGCATGAGAATCACTTGAACCTGGATGGCAGAGGTTACAGTGAGCTGATATCGCACCATTGCACTCCAGCCTGGGTGACAGAGCAACACTCATTCTCAGGGAAAAAAATAAATAAATAAAATAATGGAATAATTCAATTCCTGTGAGAATTAATCAAAGAAGATTGCTAAAAAGAGATCTTTTTTTTTTTTTTTTTTTTGAGACAGAAGCTTGCTCTTTTCGCCAGGCTGGAGCCAAGTAGCACAATCTCGGCTCACTGCAACCTCCACTTTCCGGGTTCAAGCAACTCTTCCACCTCAGCCTCCTGAATAGCTGCGACTACAGGCGTGTGCCGAACACCCGGCTAATTTTTGTATTTTTAGTAGAGATGGGGTTTCACCATGTTGGCCAGTATGGTCTTGATCTCTTGACCTCGTGATCCACCCACCTCAGCCTCCCAAAGTGCTGGGATTACAGGCATGAGCCACCACACCCAGCCTAAAAGAGATCTATTTTAGATCACCTTTAAAGAAATGAAGGCCAGGTGCGGTGGCTCATGCTGTAATCCCAGCACTTTGAGAGGCAGGAGGATTGATTGAGACCCTATCTCTTAAAAAAAAGAAAGAAAGAAATGACTAAGAAGAAGAGTTGTTGCATGAGTGTTCTAAATATGGGTAATGAACTATGCAAAGACCTAGAAACCAGACACTGAAATGATCATGTTGGAGGTTCATTTTATTGGGATATATAGGTTGATTTTGGCCAGTTCTTCCCTTTTTACAACTTCCCATTTCCTAGTCCATTTATGACTTAGAAGCCAGGATTCTGGAAAGTTTCCCCCCCAAAAAAAATGAGTTTCATTTCCCCTTTTGGCTTCTTTAGAACTGCGGCAAAAGGTAGTCATGCCTCTTTCCCCATTCTGTTTTCTAACCAATTGTTCTTTGCTCTTTGCCCTCCTTCCTGGCAGAAAGCCCCAAGGAAAGCTCAGAGCCAACGGGTTCTCCAGCCCCCGTGATTCAGCACAGCTCAGCAACAGCCCCTAGCAATGGCCTCAGTGTTCGCTCTGCAGCTGAAGCTGTGGCCACCTCGGTCCTTACTCAGATGGCCAGCCAAAGGACAGAACTGAGTATGCCGATACAATCGCATGTGATCATGACCCCACAGTCCCAGTCTGCGGGCAGATGATGCCTCCTCCGGTGAAGAGGTTCCCAGCCAGAGCTCGCCACCCAAGAGCCAAGAGAAATGTCATCTTACCCCCTCCCATCTGCCTTGGACATGGCAATACGGGGTAGGGGGGAATTGTGTGTTGTGAGTAATGGACAGATATGGGGCTTTTTAGGCTTTTTAGCCACATGGTCATGTATGTTTGACACCTGTACTGGGGGCCTCCCAGCCCCAGAGCCTCATAGATCATCCCCAAGGGTGGGGTTTCTGATGCACCCACAGCCAAAGGCCTTTCCAGATGGTCCGAACAATCACCCCTGCCCCATGCACGTGTATCTGTCTCTTTTAACACTAACCCTTGGCACTTCTAGGTTTGGGGTTTCTCAGCTCCCTCTCTTCCCACTAAGCCGTGGCTGTTACCTTTCTGTTCCTTACCAGCTTGCCACTTCCTGCCAGATAGAGGGAGGCTAGATTTGATGGGATATCACCCACTGACCCAGCCCCAGCCACCCAGTGGACTCAGGACCGTCTCCCACTGCTGCTTCTTTACCCATTTCCTTTTTCCCTTCCTTAATTCTAGTTAAAACATTTACTTACAGAGAATGTGAGGTTACCTTTGTTGTATAAAGCAGCAGTATTTTCCAGTTCTTCCATAAGCTTTATTCCTTCTCCCTGCCTACCACCAAAAAAAAAAAAAAAAAAAAAGAGGTAAAAAGAAAGAAACCCTCAAGAGTTCTAATTCTTGGCCGGGCGCGGTGGCTCACGCCTATAATCCCAGCACTTCGGGAGGCCGAGGCGGGTGGATCACGAGGTCAAGAGATCGAGACCATCCTGGTCAACATGGTGAAACCCCATCTCTACTAAAAATACAAAAATTAGCTGGGCATGGTGGTGCGCGCCTGTAGTCTCAGCTACTCGGGAGGCTGGGGCAGGAGAATTGCCTGAACCCAGGAGGCGGAGGTTGCGGTGAGCCAAGATCGCGCCATTGCACTCCAGCCTGGGTAACAAGAGCGAGACTCCGTCTCAAAAAAAAAAAAAGAGTTCTAATTCTTTTTCATCTATTTCCAGAGCTATTTGGGTACCTCACTTTGTCACTTGAGTTTATCTAGTGTAGTGGTGGGGTCTTTCCCACCACCCCACTAGGCCTCAGCAACCTCATTTTGTGGCCTTATTCAAGATTGCTTGGTAGTGAAAAGGGAAGGGCCCAGGATCTGACTGGCCGATTCTATCTCCTCCCCTCCCTCTCCCTTCAGTTTTAATCATCAGGGCAGACAGGAACAAAGCAGTTCAAGGCTTGTTCCATCAGGTTAGGGATTAACTGATTCCTTTATAAGAGATTACTGGCCAAAGCATACATATTGTCATCTTTGGTCATCTTCCTGCTCCTGCCTCTGCTTCTCTTCTGTAACTACTTCAGATACAGCCCTCCTGGAGGCTGTCATGTAGGGGACTTGTACCCCATGTCTCCCCCTCAGACGTCTGTCTTCTTTTCTGAGCTAGAATCTTCTGTTCACAAGTGCCCCTCACCATCTGGACTACCTTCTTATTCTTTCACCAGGTTCCTAGCTTAGACACTAGGTCTTCCAGGTCCTCTAGAGTTTCTTCAACCCATTTCTGCTCTCTTCTCCCTACATGCAATGCTCCAGGATCTTGAAGCATCATAGCCAGAGTCCTGAGTGGATTTACTTGAGTATTAGATTGAAAGGAGGGACGAAGGGAAGAGGGGAAGTACAGAACTATTCCCAGCAAAGGACCCCAGAGTCTGGCCTGGGAAATTGGTGACTATTGCTTTCAGCCATTCTTACTTTGAAGAGTTGGGTTGCAGGGGGAGCAGTCCATCCCTCTTGTCCCTCTTCCTTCCACATGAAAGCTTCTTATCTCCCCTTGGCTCTGAACTATGCAGTTTCCACCAGGACCATAGGAAGCAATTCAGAGCCAGAGGCCTGTGGATAGATAGGTCAGCTTTAATAGCCTTTCCATGTGAAACCCTTCCAGTTGTCCCAGAGCCACCTTCTGCCATCTGTGCAAGCCAAGAATGTCCTCCTCTCCATCTTTTCTGCCTCCATCTAAACGTACGCACACAATAACTGCTAGCTTCAGCTTCCTTTCTTGTTTTGTCTCCAAAATTGACTGTCACAGGGGAATGAGAAAACGTAAGCTACAAGATTCCCATTTCCTTAAAGTGATAGCCTATCCTAGTGAACCAGTCAGGTAACATGTTCTGCTGCATTTGTTTTAAATTTCCCCTCCTGCTTTTCAGGGCTGGTGTGAACAGGCCACACCCCTAAAGACAAAAGAGGGAAAACATGGGTTTCTCATCCTCTACCACCAGGTGCCTAACTGGAATAGCCCCTGAAGTGACTCAGACTAGCAAATGTTATGACAGATGGTCAGGATGCAGGTTACCACCTCCAGGGACTTCACTTTTGCCTTTAAAAATTCACAGCCATAACTTGTGCTCAGGACTTCTCCTTTGGATGGCTGCTCCCTGGGATTTTTCTCCTGCTTTATTGTCTTGATTTCCCAGTAGCAGCCTTGCCCTACAGCTTGACTGAATTTATGGCTCCTAAGGAGCTTTCCTAAGACTCTTGACTATTTTTCTTCCCCCTTCAGTCAAGTTTTTAAAGTTAAGAATCAGTTTGTCACTGCATACGTGCCCTACCAGTCTGTCCCTGTGTTGAGTGGCTAATTTATGTGAGGGTCTTTTTTAGTTCTTAGCCCCCATGACTAATTATCTAGTCCTAACTTCATTTTTATCAGTGGGAAGTTTGTATATGGGACCTAAACGGAGCAGTGTCAGAACCACAGTATCGAAACAGTAACGAAATGGAACTAAAATAAGGAAGCAGCAGGTCAGAGCCCCAAGATAGCTCTTGAGTTTGTTCTCAGTCTCACTAAGGAGGCAGAAAAATTGCTTACCCTGAAGCTTCCATGATAGTCAGAGGTGAAGTCACTTACCTTGTTATTTCTACAGCCATGTGATCACTCCCCCAATCTTTGTCTTCCAGACTCATCTGGACCAGAACCAAACATCATGGAAGGTGTCACTTGGCCCTTCCTAAGGTCCATGGCCTTTCTAGAGGCCCAAGAAAGGACACGTTCAGAAAGGAGCTGAGTGTATGGTGGGTGTCCTGAATTCAGTGAATACAGGACTCAGGCTTCCCACCCCACTCCAGTGTGAGTGCTAGATATGTAAGCACCCTAGCTAGCTGCAACAGACCCAAGGCCACAGAGGAAGAGGCCAGAACCAGGTCCTCTGGTCTGCTCACTCTCTGCCCCATTCCCCTAACAGAAAGCTTGCTTAGAGTTGAAAAGTCTAAGAAAGCCTCCCACACTACTAGAGAGGCCAAAAATAAGTCATACCCCACCTTTACTTACTCTTTTGCTGCAGGTTATACACCCCAAATCTGACTTCCTAAGCGTTCACCTCTCTCCTTGCCCTAAGCTTAGACCATGTACTTCAAGTAGTGGTGAAGAGGGACTGGGCTAACTGAACCTCCTCTCATTCACTCCTCTCTCCCTGTTCTGTTCCTTTTCTGTTATTTTACATATGACCTCTGTCACATGCTCTGCTCCTTTCTTGATTCACTGCTTTCTGGCACCACCCATCCTGGTAGATGGAGCCTTGACCCCAACTGTGCACTATGTACAGCCTGAACCACCAAACAGACACCAAAAAATTATTCCTGAGGTTTCTGGGGCTCCCCTCTCCACGCTGAGAGGCTCCTAAAGGTGGTAGACCCTGAGACAGCTGTCCCCGCCAGTTTTCTCCTTTTTTCATTAGCTCCTTCCCATCCCCAAATCATTAATTTTCCATTAGCGCTGTACATTGTATACACAGGAAAGAAATGTTATCTCTTTTTTTAATTTCATAACCAGTCTCTGTAGCTTCCAGTCCTCCTCACTGTATCTCATATGCCTTGTTGATACGCCCTTTCTGCTTTCTTTACACTTACATTTGATGGGGGTGGGGGCGTCTGGAAGAACAGGAAAGGTGAGTATTCCAAAGCAGATTAAAGGACCCTCCACCCCATTACAGCCTCCCACACCTCTAGTCGTCCCTCTCATAGTACAGGACCGATTTCTCTGTGTCTGTTTGTACCCACAAATGTGCATATAGACATAAATTCCCCCAGCGCACACCAAGGTGGTGGAATTCCCAGTAGGAATGAGCATAGGTGGCTGCTGGCCACCGTTACCACCCTCGGCACCAATTGAGTTCTCTCTCTTTGGGGTGAAGTCCTACCCCAGAATGAGGAAAGGCTGGGGAGAGTATGGCAGGTTACAGCAGTGTATGTCCTTTGTAGATTCAGGTTTGTATCATAGCTACTAGGGCTTATTTTTTTAATGGGGGACTAATAGCATAGAGATAACTCATCAGCAGTAGCTACTGGTGAGTAATTTTTTATCTGTAAGAAGTGGCTATGAGCAGTAGTTTCACTGACTTGACCTTAAAGCAGTGGTCCCAGAATATGGTCCAGGACCAGCAGCATCAGTACCACAATCATCGGGAAACTTACTAAAAATATACATTCTCATGCCCCATCTCAAACCTATTGAATCACACACTCCGGGAGCAGGATTTAAAAGCACTCCAAGTGATTCTAATGCACACTAAGGGTTAAGAACCATTTCAATTTTTTTTTTTTTTTAATGAGGTTTCACCATGTTGGTCAGGCTGGTCTTGAACTCCCGACCTCAGGTGATCCACCCGTCTTGGCCTCCAAAGTGCTTGGATTACAGGCATGAGCCACCATGCCTGGCCAAAAACCTTTTCTTAGGTTATCCCTAAGAAAACCTGGGAAATTCTTACAGGTGTGGAGGATATTTCAAATACATCTTTTGCCTTTGCACTAACATTCTTCCATTTCTTTCAGTCTCTTCCTCCATTCCCATTAAAACAATCACCATTATATCAGTGATCTCAAAATCCTGATCTGTCTTCTTTCTAGCCGTATCCTTAAAGCCATGCATTGGTCTGGACAGGAGTTATCCCATGTTTCCTTACAGATTGGTCACTCTGTGCTCTCTCTTACAGTAAGGACCAGCCAGAGCTTCAGCTGTCCCATTCCTCCCCCACAGCACACACACTTGTCAGGCAGGGAGGAGATGAACCCCGAGCCCCAAGAGTGGAGGCTGCCGCATCCTAACATAGTACTATTGAAAAGGAAGCAGTGTGTATCTATGATTATATCTCTGTTCAGCTATATATTTTTGACATGTGGCAACACCTCTCCATCTTATCAAGGAAACTCAACTCGGTCTGGGTCTCCCCAGTGCCCAGTGGTGGCCTTTGACAGGTAGGAGGATGCAGTGCTACAGGCTATTTTATTTTTTGTTACAAAACTGTCTTTTCCCTTTTCCCCTCCACCTGATTCAGCATGATCCCTGTGAGCTGGTTCTCACAATCTCCCGGGATGGGGCTGAGGCAGGGGCTTCGCTCTATTCTCCCTAACTGTACCATCTTCCTTTCCCCCTTGCCACTTAGCAGTTATCCCCCCAGCCATGCCTTCTCCCTCCCTCCCTTGCCCTGGCATATATCGTGCCTTATTTATGCTGCAAATATAACATTAAACTATCAAGTGAACCACTGTTATGTCTGATGCTTCACTACTCTATCTACAGGTCCCACTGTCCACTCTTCGGGGAGGTCACTGGGCTTTCAGTCTGTCAACTTCCTTACTCCCCCATTTCTTAGGACAGAAGGAACAGGGATTGTTGTCCCTAGTTTTTTTATACAGGAGAGACACAGCCTAGAGTAGGTGGATGATTTCTATCACTTACGAAATATGACAGAAGGCCCAGGGCAGAGCTCCTGTGGACTGCCTTGGAGACAAGGGCCCTTGGCTTCCTGGCAGCAAGCACTCACCAGGAAACTTAGTATGTGCTTTATGTGGATGGCAGGTGGGAGAGCTGCTGATGGCAAATTGCCTTTTACTTTTCAGTGTTTTGTTGACAACCCCCACCCAACCATTAAAAAAAAAAAAAAAAAGCCCTAAGCTGGACGCACTGGCTCATTCCTGTAATCCCAGCACTTGGGAGGCTGAGGCGGGCAGATCATGAGGTCAGGAGATCAAGACCATCCTGGTTAACATGGTGAAACCCCGTCTCTACTAAAAATACAAAAATTAGCTGAATGTTGGCACACACCTGTAGTCCCAGCTATTCGGGAGGCTGAGGCAGAAGAACCACTTTAACCTGGGAGGCGGAGATTGTAGTGAGCGGAGATCATGCCATTGCACTCCAGCCTGGGCAACAAGAGTGAAACTCTGTCTCAAAAAAAAAAAAGAAGAAGCAAGTCAAGAGTTCACAAGAAAAATAGGTAATGCTCAGAGCCTGTGGGAATCAGGAAGAGGTGTAGGGAAATCACAGATCATTTCTTGCATCTGTTTATTCCTTTATAATTAACATCACAAATGAGAACAGTGAGCCAGGCTGAAGAATTTGACAAAAGATAGCAGGAGTCTCTGGAGTTTCCCAGTAGAAGAGAAATGATTTAAGAAGCTATATATGGTTGGTGTTTGGGAGACATGTGACACAAATAGCCTGTGCCTCCTGAGGAGAGTGGGAAAAGCAGTGGTGGTCTTCACTGTGTTGTGGCCAGGAGCACATGGGGGTCCAGAGAAGGGTAAGAATGACAATTGCTGAAAGCCAAATACCAAAGCCCACATTATGAGGTTTTGGAGGTGGGAATGAACTCTAAAGACTGGGCAGTTTACCGAGTTAGAGGGACCCATCTATTCCAACTTGAGAGGAGACCAGTCACCTCCATCCTGGACACAGGAAGCCAGCTAGACCAGCCTCTTTCTGAATGCAGCTCAGCTCAAAGCCACTTGTAATTGATGTTTAGAGAAATACTAGAAGCAGCAGGTTGGTAAACATCGCGTGGCTGCCCCATGCTACATGGGATGGTAGAGTGCTTTACTCTTCATCTCAGGATAACAGTAATAGTCACTTCATTTTATTGATGATGAATTTTTAGCCAAGTCACACGGTGAAGTGCAAGAGCTAGGGTTACAACTGAGTTCTGTCTGGCCCAGAGCCAGCTCTGCAATATCCCATCCATCCTCACACAGACAGGAGCAGACAAGGATCATGATGGGATGCAGCAGCTACTGCCCACAGAAGAGCCATGATGCTCCCTTTCAAGAAGTGGTAAACTGGCCGGGCAAGGTGGCTCACGCCTGTAATCCCAGCACTTTGGGAGGCGGAGGTGGAGGCGGAGGTGGAGGTGGAGGTGGAGGCAGGCAGATCACCTGAGGTCGAGGCGGGTGGATCACGAGGTCAAGAGATCGAGACCATCCTGGTCAACATGGTGAAACCCCGTCTCTACTAAAAATACAAAAAATTAGCTGGGCATGGTGGCGTGTGCCTGTAATCCCAGCTACTCAGGAGGCTGAGGCAGGAGAATTGCCTGAACCCAGGAGGCAGAGGTTGCAGTGAGCCGAGATCGCACCATTGCACTCCAGCCTGGGTAACGAGCGAAACTCCGTCTTAAAAAAAAATAGGTGGTAAACTACAAGATGTCATGATGATGAATGTCAGGTTCTATGCTTGTGACCAACCATGAGACAAAGCTTACAAAAAGATTCACCCTAGCTCCGTCTACATTAATAGAAATATGGTATTTGGAGCATCCAGATAGATACAAACCTGCTCTAATCTACATATCTAAAGAGTAAGTTGATTCCTAGATCCCTTGCCTTAAAGAGTGGGGTGCTTCCCCTTGAGCAAAAAAGACTTCAGAGCGGGCCGAGCACGGTGGCTCACACCTGTAATCCCAGCAGTTTGGGAGGCCAAGGTGGTTAGATTGTTTGATGTCAGGAGTTCAAGGCCAGTGCCAAAAAAAAAAGACTGGAGTGGAAGAATGAACTGTCTTCAAAAATATGAAGAGCTTTACACATGAAAGAGATGAGAGATGTTCTGTGAGATTTAATGAAGCAAACTAAGAACCCCTAGTAGAAGTCATAGGAAGCCCAAAGCCCCCTTGGCACAAAGATAAATATGTCTGAAGACTGCCTCAGGAGATGGTAAGTTCCCTAGCTGGGGCGTGTGAGGCGATCACAGCTCATGTTTGAGGATACCTGTTCTATGCCAGCTGTTTTGCTGAATGGATTACAAAAAGGATGTTAAATAATGCATACTCTAGGAAGAAGCTCCTTGTAAAATGGGCCCATGTTTTAGGTAAGGAAACTGAAGCTCAGAGCAAGGGACAGCTTGCCAAAGCAGAGTCCAAGGCCTTTACGTCATGGCTCTTCCTCAGCACAGGCTAGAGACCCACACCGGTGGGGATGCTCAGAAAAAGACTGTAGGACTAGAAGGAACCTGCACCATAGGCTTGAAGGCCTTTTCCTGAGGATTAGTGATTCTGATTTTTCCTAAGACAGGATTCTAGGCTACCCTAATATGTCAGAGCCAGAGCCAGGCAGAGGCTGTGGTGACCAAAGAGAGAGGAGGCAGAATGATAGTCCAGCTCCACAGTAGCCTGCTCCTGTCCCTCAGGGACTCCCTGAAGTCTAGACCCTAGCACCTCCATTCAGCCTCACCCTCCTAGCTTCCTCTGCAGAGCTCTAGATTCTAGGAAAAGGAAATGGCCGGAGCTGGCAGTGAGGAGCTGTGACCACAGGGTGGCAGCAGTGCTTCAGCTGTGGAGGGCGACTTCATAGGAAGGGCTATGAGGCGGGTCGGAAGCAGTAGTAAGCTCTAGTGAAGATGGTGGTCTGTCTGCAGATTTAAAGCCATGCCCATTCAGTGGGCTCCAAAACCCTTTAGCCTTCTTCTATATCTTAATATTCTGAGATGGAGTTTCACTCTTTTTGCCCTGGTTGAAGTGCAGTGGTGCGATCTCGGGTGAGCCACTGCACCTGGCCAAAATAAAAATTTTTTTTAATCAAAAAAAAAAAAAAAAGATACAGCCCAGGCACGGTGGCTCACGCCTGTAATCCCAGCTACTTGGGAAGCTGAGGCAGGAGAATCACTTGAACCAGAGAAGCAAAGGTTGCAGTGAGCCAAGATCGTGCCACTGCACTCCAGTCTGGGCAAAAAGAGTGAAACTCCATCTCAGAAAGAAAAAAAAAAATTAAATCTTCTGCACTATCATGAAGCTGAATATATCTTCTATCCACAGGCAAATCTGAGTAGCCCTCAAGAGGCACACAAGCAGAGGATGGGCTGTGTGGGCCTGTCAGCCCCCAGACGGGGAGGACCAGGCTTGGTCATCCTGGACTCTGAACCTGGTGGCTCTTCCCACTCCTCTTCTACTCCAGGATATCCTACTTAACCCCTCCTGACATGAGTTTCGTTTTTGGGGGACAAAGGGGATGGAGTCTCTTGTCACCCAGGCTGGAGCACAGTGGTGCAATCTCAGCCCACTGCAACCTCCATCTCCCTCCCAGATTCAAGCGATTCTCCTGCCTCAGCCTCTCAAGTAGCTGGAACAACCGGCATGTGCCACTACACCCGGCTAATTTTTTATTTTTAGTAGAGATGGAGCCTCACCATGTTGGCCAGGCTGGTCTCAAACTCCAGCCCTCAGGTGATCCGCCTGCCTCAGCCAATCAAAGTGCTGAGATTACAGGCGTGAGCCACAGTGCCCGGCTGACATGAGTTTCTTGTGCTTTACCCGTTAGGAAAGAGGGGAAGTGATAAACTGAAGCTCTCCAACCTGTTGAGGGATTGGGGGTTCTTGTAAGGCCCCCCAGGGCCTGGCTCTGACAAAGCCTCTGCAACTAATGATGCTTCTTGAGCGCTGGAGACAGAATTTATGCATCTAATAAAGTCTATCACTCCAGGCTTAGGGGCCGGGGGCAGGATGATGAGAGCAGGAAGTCCTGGGGGCACCATGGGAAGGGATCCCAGGCGGCTCCTAATGAGCCCTGCACTTCCATTTGCCTGTTCTAGATTCCCCCTAAGGCTGCTGTGAGGCTGGGGGTGGGGTAACAGCAGGTATAAGAGGCTGGGGTGGCTGTAGGAGGGTGGATGGCAGCATGGATTCTGGGCAGGCTGCTGCGCTGCTGGTGCTGCTGCTGCTCATAGATCCCGCCTGTGCTGAGGGGCCAGGAGGCCGGCAGGAAGACCAGCTCTCCCAGGTAAGTGAGCAGCCCATCCCCTTATCACCCATACCTTGTCGCCTCTACCTTGGTTGAGACTTGTGCTCTAGGTTCTGATACTTTCTCTGGTTGCCAAGGTTGTCGTTAGGTCCTCACATCTGAGGAAATGGTTCTGCACCTACCACTTGCCCCTGGAAGCCAGTCCCTTCCCCTTGTGACTTATGTGTCCAGGGTATTTGCCCAACTTCCTTGCCTGATAGCCCCTGGTACAGGAGAAAGACAGTGGACCCCGCCTACCACAGGATGCCCAGAGCCCTGGGTCACTCTTGCGATCCCTGCTCCAGGCAATGGAGAGACCTGGCCGGAGCCAAGCCTTCCTGTTTCAGCCCCAGAGGTGAGGAGTCTGAAAGGGACATGAGCATGACAGGGGCTGGGGGTGGAAAGAGCAGGGGACAGAGGAAGAGGAAAAGGAAAGGGGCTAGAGAAGGAAGACTGAAGGGATCTGAGGACTAATCTCTCCTAAGATTTGGCAGAAACACCCAGGGATCCTGGAGCAATGAACGGCTGAGTCCTCGGGCTGGAGAGGGGCTGCATTCCCAGTTCTGGAGCCTGGCTGTCCCTCAACGCTTTGGGAAGAAGTGATATCATCCCTTGATGTGTTTGCATGCAATGTCCACACCCAAAAGTGCCAACGTGTGCCCCCAAATAAAGGTGTCTGATTTCTGAATCCATGTGTGTCTGTGTAACTTTAGAGGGCTGGGTGGAAGCCCAAGGGCTAGAGCCACTACCCCTCCCCCTCCACCAAACCCAGCCTCCAGCAAGGCAGCTGACAACAACGGTCCTGGAGGCCACTGTACCCAGCCTCTTCCCGCCAGAAGGTAAAACATGAGAATGGCTGGAAAAGGAGCTCAAGAAAGGCACACAAAAGTAACATGGTGACTTCCTCTGCCATCCAGACGGCTCAGGGAAACAGAAGAGAAGGGCTTAAAAATCCACAAAGCAGCATATTTATTCCAGGCTCTAGTGCTCTAGTAGACAGCCCCCTGATTTCATTCCCACTCATCATCACCAATAAAATGTGGACGGATCCTGGGCTGGCTGAGGCCCTGTGGTCCTTGGCTCCTTGCCCTGTGCCTTCTCACCTCAAGGCAGGCAGTCTGTGTCAGAGGTAGAGATGGCACCCACAGAGGGTACCAGAGCTGCGCAGATACATGAGCCCAGAGGCAGGAAGAGCAGGGAGCAAAGGGTGCACATCCATGAGTCCAGCTGGGGCTTCACTTGCTGCCCGCCATGATCTTGAGGTACTGCAGGGCACGGCGGGCAGCCTCACCACGGGCTGCCTCCCTGGTGGTTGCAGAGCCATGACATACAGTGGCCGGCTGGGTGGACAGTTCCACCAGGCACTGGCAGAGTCCACTCAGGCTCAGCTCCTCTGGAGAGCAAGAGGGAGGAAGGAGGCAGTGTTGGGTGGGAGGCAGCCCTGGGGAGGGGTATGTTGACATCATCGTCACCCCATTATACTTGTTCCTGTCCAGCCCCCACCACCCCTGGCTTGCTCCCCAGCCAGCCATACCAATATCCAGGTAGCTGACATGGAAGGCCTGCTCCTCAGAGAGCTCACTGAGGACACGGCAGCAGGCAGGGCCTAGGGCACCCAGAGAGCCCAGGGAGCAACTTCGGAGGGACAGGATCTTCTCTCCCACTGAATTTCGTAGAGAATCCCAGGTGCAGCCTGGGCCCCGGTTCCGAAGACCATCCAGGCGGGAGCCCACACCCTGCCAAGATGGGAACAGTGAGAAAGATGAGGCAAGAGACGGTGGGACCCAGGCATTTGCATATTTGACATCAAAGGAGAAAAAAGCACAAAGAATGCTTCCTCCAGCCTGCCTCCCCCGAGTCAATCCCCGCATGGCCCCTTCTAACTACCAGGCCCCAGGCCAGATGGCCAGGCAACCCTCCTCAACCCAGTAACAGAGCTACAGAGCGGGCCTACAGTCAAAGCTGAGTCGGCCCCAGGAACCCTGGGTCTGGTAGGAAAACTGGCAGAAGCAGGCCTAGAGCCCAGAGAGGCTCACTGCTGAGTCACAGACCCAAATCCCTAGAGCCCTGCCCTGGCAGGGAGGATGGGCCACTCACAATGGAGAAGTGGTCATCATCAGGCTCCACCTCATTGCCATCCCGGGCATCCAGAGGCACCGTATGCACTCGAAGCAGCATTTTGGCCGCCGCATTCCGCTTTGCCAATTTTTTGGACGTACCACTTCCTACATGTGAAGAGAGGGCTGCTGGGTTCTGATTCCCCACAGATCCAGTGCTTCCACCCAGGTCATACTTGGATTGAGGGTCTCCCTAGAATGTCAACTGGAAAGGGGAACTCAAGACTTGCCCAGGCACCTGAGAACCTGGTCGGCCAGAGAGAAGGGGACAGACAGGGTGCCAAAAAACTAGAAGGAAGGGGCTGAGCCAGGGACTGTGAAGCAAAGAGAGCAAGGGCTATACCAGAGTGAGGCTAGGAGCTGCTTTGGGGCTGGGGCCAGAGTGCTGCGGGAGAGGAGCTTCGAGAACCCGTTACCAATCTCAATGAAACGCTCCACTCGGCAGGTCATGGTGAATTCTTTCCGGTGGGCTGGCCCCGACTCCTGGGTCACTGTGTACTCCGGCAACCGCCAGCCTTTCTGCACCACCAGCTCCTTGGAAAGGAGACACAGGGTGCATGAGGCTGGGTGAAAAAACGTTTCTCACACCCAAGCAGGAGCCTCAGACTCTAGGTGAGAGGAAGGAGAGAGGTAGGTGGAAAGGGCCTCAGTACCGGGAACCGCCCCTGCCCCCGCCCCCAACCACATACCACCTTCCCTCATAGCCCCTGGCTCAAGGGAAGACAGGCATGCACAGGAAATGAGGATAGGGCACACCTGTAGAGCACCGACAGGGTTGCATTCAGACTGCTGAGGGGAGACAGGGGGCTGCATTTCCATGGGGGGGCTCCTGAAGGAAAAAGGGCACAGGGCCAAAGTTGAGCTGAATAGTTCCATCTGAGCCTGCCCATGAGCTTCAAGCCTAACCACTACTTTAGATTCCCGACTACCATCTCCCAATTCCCACCAGGCAGGCAGCTGTCTGTCCACACATCCAGCCTGCTCCTTCCTGCTCTAGCCGGCTTCCTTCCCCCTCCCACTCAAGGAAGGCCTTCTCCAGGCCCCAGCCCATTTCCATTCTGGAACACGGCTATCATCTAAGCCAGAACAGTGGGAGAAGGGCTGTACTTCCAGTCCCAGAAGTGCCTGATGGGTCTCAAACACAGAACTGACATGCAGTCAAACCCAGAAGAAAATGGGGCTGCAAGCCCCTTAAACATGGTGGAACATCATCCATAAGGCTATTTGAAAATCACAAATGACCTCCTGTCCCAAGAGCTTACCAGCAGGTGTGATTTCTTCAAGTTCTGGTTCCCACCTATTCCATTCTGTTTATTCTCAGACTTCCTCATTCCTGACCAGCCTGGGTCCAAGGACTAAGGAGCCAGAAACCAGAATCCCTTCCTCCACCCCCTTCAGGCAATCAGGGGACACAAGATACCTGGTTAGGACAACAGATGGAACTGGGGTAGCAGCTGCTGCAGCAGTAAAAACCGGAACGTCCTCAGGCAGTGAAGAGTCTAGGGGAGAATAAGAACTTCCCGAGGGGAAGGGGGCCTTTGATTCACACCCATGTATAGGGGGAAGAGAGGGGTAGGGGACCCAGGTCTTCCTGACCTGCCCATCCCCTAAGAGAACTTCCAAATTGAGCCAAAGGATCAGGGAGCCTCAACCAACAGCTTCCTTCTGGGATCCTGTGCTGCCAAACACTGGCAAAAAGACCGAGAAAAGAGGGTCTCAGAGAAGAGGGCCTCTTGGTACCCAAGAACCAAGTAGTAACAAACGCCGAGCTGCGTGTGGAAGAAGGACATCTTGCTAGAACAAGGAGGCATGGTGGGAAGCAACTCCCTTTAGTCTCAGTCTCTACCCCTCTCCCTCCCTAACCCAGGCCCCAAACTACTGCCATAACCCCTCTGTGGGGCTAACCAACCCCCCCCCCAAGAATTCTTCATAGCAGCAGAGGCCCTGGAAGACTCTGTTCAGGTCCAGAGGGACTCTCAGGAAGAGGCCAGGTCAGGGTGGCTAAGTGTCACCAGGCCAGGCCTGGGGGCAGAAAGGTGGTGCAGGGCCTGGGTTCCTCGAAGGGCTTCTGGGATGCCTCGGTTCCTCCCTCACCTGCTGTCCTCCAGGGCCGGCTCCAGCATGCTCCCCCCTTTGAGGTGTTTGAGGGCCACCTCAGCTGCCTTGTGCTTGGCTGCCTTCTTGCTGGGGCCCTGACCTGAGAGAGGGGGCATGGGCAATACTGGAGGTCACTGGAAGGACAGGAGAGAAACCAGCATCCCACAGCCTCTCTTCTCACAGCCAGAGGGAATCAATCAAGCCCCCTCTGACCAACCTCCTCCTGCTGAAGACTGGAAGTGTTTCACTAATTGCTGGAAGGAATAGCCCTTATCTTTCCATTAGCTTCCAGAATTAGGCCATGCCAAGCAGGACTTCTGAACTCAAAGCCTTAGGTGGACTGCTGAGCTCAAATGCCTTAATTTCCTTTGCAAAGCACTTTCTTTTCCCTCAATAAATAGCTGGAAAAAGAGAGGGTAGGCTCTGGAGTAAAAGCCCCACGTGACTGTGCACCAGCCATTTATTATCTCAAATACTGTTTCCTCATGTTCAACCTGGGCAGGCGGGGTGGGGGGGATACTGCCACCTACATCACTGGTTAGACTGAAGTTTAAAATTAAATGGGAATTTGGTTAAGCACCTGGAACAGAGCCCAGCACGCCAGGAACTCACTCCCCCAAATATTCCACTGGGATTTCAGTTATCTTCTCTTACTTTTCCTCTAGGGTGATGAGGATCCGCCAGATCACTGTGGCAGTCCTGCTTGCTCCTCTAACTCTCCCACATCCTACCCACCTTCTGACAACCCTGTTCTCCCAATCCAGTCAGTGGCTTTTCCCCTGAAAGCTCTCCTTCCCTCACTGGCCTTGAAGAGGACTGTGAAGACAGAGACTCCAAGAAACAAAGCCATGGGGACCTATGAATGCGCACCCCAGCCAGGCTGCCCAAGCCTTCCTCACCAGTGCAGCTGGTGTCGCCAACGGTGACCCGGAAGGTGAAATTAGGCTGGTGGGCTTGGCCCTCGGCTTTGAGAAGGTCGTACACAGGCGTCTTTCCTATTCTGGTCCCATACTCCTGCAGAAGGCTGATCGGGGTCTTGCCTGGGTTGGCGGCCAGCATTTGCTCTATACTGGGGGAAGGGGCACAGACCGACATCACACCTCCCCTCTCTGCACCCACCTGGCCAAGCACTGCCATATGAGACCTAGGCACATTATGGGGGACATAGGGTCCAGGGGAACCCCAAGCAGTCTAGCATCTATTGACTGGGTTCCAAGTGGAGGTGCAGGCTGGAAAAGTAGGGTCCACTACCCCAAAGCAAGGGGGGAAGAATGCACTGCTTCTGCCTCAGTTAAGGTAGGCACGTTTCTGTGCCCCAGTGCAGGTTGAAAATGCATACCCCCTGACATACTGCAAGCCAGGGACCCAGTACCCACCAAATGCACTGAATGTGGGGGCATAAAGCCCAGTGTTCCAGTGCAGTCTGGGAACCGGGCCAACCCCAAACTATTTAGAGCTGGAGGCAGCAGCCACTGCCCCGGTGCACGCCGGGAACCACTGCCCACTGCCCCAGTGCTTGCCGGGAACAACCCCCAGGCCAGGTGCATGCTGGGGCCCCGCTGCTACCCCCTCCGCACAGCCCCACGCTTTTCGCCCTGAAGGGATCGGTACGGGGCGGCTCACCTAGGCAGCCCGCAGCCTGTGGTAGTGCCGGAGCCTTGCTCCTCTTCACTCATTCCCTCCTCCGTCCCCGCGGGCGCCACTGTGACTGCAGCCTCCACGCGCCCCAATACACCGCAGACGAGCTAGGGCCGGGGCCAAGCCCGGAGTCGCGGCCGGTAGGGCCCGCCGCGGGGCACGCTGGGATATGGAGTCCCCCGCCCACCCTACTTCATGAGCCTCCATCTGGAGGGGAGCTATCCGCCCCACAACCCTCCGCGTGGCTGGCCTGGGCAGGCTGCGCCGCCTTCTGGGAGGGGCGGGCCCTTCGCCGTCGCTTCCCGAGAAGGCCGTATTTTTTTGTTTGTGATATTGTCCCGCCTCCTTCCTTCCGCGCCCCGGGTCTCCCGGGCAGTGAGGCTGTGGACATGCGTACTAGCGGAGTGGAAGCCAGGGGCGGTAAGGACTCACTCGGGCACGGGGCCTTTTGGATTCCAAGAAAACTACAGAACCCAGGAGCCTGCGCGCCATCTTTGTCGCAGCTGGAGGGGCAGGGTCAAGCACGCACGAGAAGCTTAGCGGCGTCATTGGTTACTCCCGTTGCGTTTACTTCCTCTCGGCGCACTGAGATTGGTTATTTCGACTAAACGGGCGGGGACAAGGAAAAGTCAGCCCCCCTGACCACGCCTGCTTGTCAAAGGAAGGTTGTGATTGGTCCGGGGAGGCTGCCTTCGGATCCTGGCTTATTGCGGTCAGGGTGGGTCTTACCCAGACACCGGAGAGGACCGATCTCTGCCTCCACAGGGCGCTGGAGCTGGTGCAGGTCCATGTCCATCTCAGACAGTCCCCTCAACCCTCAGCTTAAGCCCCTGGCTGCTGGGCCTTCGTAACGCAGAACTTGTTTCCTTTTTCTAGGTTGTCCTTCACCTCCCTTCAGGTTTTGCTGCTTTTGTAAGCCTTTTTAGAACGGCTCTAGTGAACCTCCCTTACACTGGCCAGGAAACCTCTGGGTCCTGAAAATCAGGTTATAGTGGGACGATAGGATTAGAAGGACTAGGCACCTGGTGGTCTCGTCCCCTCTGCCGTGAGTCTTGGGTCTTTCAGCTGAAGAGAGCAGGAGTGAATTTTGGCCACCTAAGACTAATCAACTGATCTGGGTGTACACGAGCAGATGCTCATTTCTTAGTCCTAGAGCCCCATTGCCTTCTCCCCGAAAGTCGCACAACCACCGGGCTAAGGGAAATCTTGTGACCTTGGAGAGAGATCACATTAAAAAAAAAGAAAGAAAGAAAGAAAAGGGTTCTAATGAGTCTTCTGAGAACCGGTCAAGAAAGAGATGTCTTACTCTGAGCCGGGGTAGGGTTGGAGATCCAGAGGAATCTTGGAATGATAATCCAGGAACAGTGGAGGAGGATGGGGCCTAGAGCTGAGTGAATTCCAAGTGGGTTAAATTCGAGTGAGCGGTGACAATCAAGGGAAGGAGAGCTGGCAAGATCTGTATGATAGGGGAGCTATGCCAGGGTGCTAGGGATCCCATGTGAGGGGCTGCTCTCTCCGGTGTAGAAAGGAGTCTATAGGACGGGTCATAGAGGGTTCCTGCGAAATCAGCCTAAGGCCCGAGGTGGGACCTCCATAGGGCACCGCCAGTAGGGAGGCATGGGGCCCAGGCGGACCAGGGACGAGCCTGGAGCGCGCCGGATGGCAACAGCAGGCTCCTTTAAGAGGCCGGCGGCTCCATCGCAGCATCCCCCGCTCAGGGCGTGTCCGTCCCGGGGGGCCAGGGGCGGGGGCCCTGGAAGGAGCGGGAGTTCAAGCCGAGCTGGGACGAGGCTAGGGGTCGGGAGGTGGGGGCAGAAAGCTGGGGCTGACACCCGTGCATCCGGACTCCGCACTAGCATCGCCTGTGACAGCGCCCCGGGTCCGGTGGAGGGCAGCGGGGGGAGGAGGGAAGGAGGAGGAGAAGGAGGAGGAGGCGGGAGCAGCATCCGGAGCTGAGCTGCAGCAGCGCCGCCTTTTGTGCTGCGGCCGCGGAGCCCCCGAGGTGAGATCCTGGCCGAGTTGTGGGGGGGTGGGGGGCAGGGATGGGTCCGGGTCTTGGGATCCGGGCGTGAAGGGAGGGTCGGTATGCAGATGTGGCCTGGTGCAGGGTGGTGGCTTGGGGATGCTGAAGCTGTGTAGATGGAGGGACTGGGGACCTGGACCCGACGCCTGTGGGGCTGGGAAGGAAGGGAATGGAGCCGAGGGATGCCGCGGCCCAGCTTAGAGACGAAGGGCCTCCAGAGCTGGAAAGGACCGTATTGGGGTTGTGTGGAGGGTGACTGGGGGACAGACGTAAAGGACAGAGGGCAAGAGAACATCTCCTCCCACTCATCCTCAGGAAGGGAGAGAGGGAAGGAGGAGGGAGAGTTTTGGCCCCCTCCAGGGAAGGAAAGGAAGGGCAAGGACTGATGTACCTACCATCTCCCTCCACACACACACTTAGCAGGCTGGACCTCAAGATTAGTCAGAGAGCACCTGTTCCTGGATCCCAGGCGTTGGTCCCCCTCCCCTTCCAGCTGTGATCCTCCTAATCTCCGCCAGCTGTGGCATTCACCTCCATCCAGCTGTTGCATCCTCCCCTCCCCCATTCACGTGTGGGTTTCTCCGTCCTCTTTCTCTCCATCTCCTCTGGCTCCCCTAACCCATCTCCCCCAGTCAGGCCCTCCAAAAACCTCCTCCCTTTCCCACAAACACTCCTCAAACTCATTGGCTTAAAAATAAGCAAGAGTTGAGACTTGCTGGTAACCAAGGCCTTGACTAAGAGGAGGGAAGAGTCAAGGCTCTGTAGACAGTGGGAGGAAATAGTGAGAAGTCCCTTAGAGTTAAGGGAGGAGTCCTACCTTGTAGATGCCTCATGTGCTGCCTTTTTCAGAGAAGCGTAGGTGAGTGGCCTCCAATCAGGAGGGAGTGCACTGAGGTCTCCTCACCCCACCCAGAGTCGTCTCAAGCCACTGTCAGTGCATCCCTCTAAACACATTTCCCTTACAGTTCTCAGGGTGGACTCCATTGTTCTAGGAGCTCTGAGTTTCAGCCAGAGGGTCATACCAAGCTAAGGCTAGCAGAAAGGATTTAGGAAGGAAAGGACTCAAGTGCCCCCTGAGCCTTCCTGTTGACATTGAAGTTTCTCTGAGCTTTAGGGTCCTGCTCCCTCCTATCTCACACAAGTAAAAAAAAGTGTGTCCCCTCAAGCATACCATTCATCCATCACTTCCATTGTCAACTGAGGTAATTTTGGGAAAACCCCAGCTCTCAACATAGAGACACCAGCTAAATGTCCATCCCTAATGAAATCCAGTTATGGACCAAGGAGGCAAGAAGTTAGACGTGGCTCGGGATTTTCTAGGTTTCCTACATAAGGAACCTTCTAAAAACCAATTGCTGTTCCCCAGGCCTTCCCCTGGTGGTGACACTGTGGTAAGATCTGGCTTTGCTAGGAAGATGACCCTCGGTTCTACCACTCATGGCCCAGACTGTCATCATGCACAGTCCTCCCGCTCCCCTGCCGGAATCTGGAGATAAAGAAGAAAGTCCTTACTAGGGTGGGCTGGAGATCACCCCTATAATCAGGTCCTCAGCTGTGTACCAGTCAAGCCCTGGGACCCCCAGCTGCCATGCCTCTTCCAGGGAGGTGAAAATATCTGTCCCCTAACACCCACCACTCACCCATTCACACTATTGACTGAGGTGATGCTGGGAAGAAGGATACTGTTGAGATGATGCTAGCAGGAGACAGAGGGGCTTCATGAGGGCCTGGCCACACAGACTGGTCTGTCCGGTTCATTGGCTCCCAGAAGGACTGGGGTCAATGTGTGTGTGGGGAAGGTGGGGAGACTGCGACAGTGACCAGATTCCAGAGGAGGCTAAAGATCATTCAGGATAGAGCCCTTGCACTTTGGTTTCTTAATTCTTCAGTCTTTTTTCCCTCTTGTTTCTCCACCTCCCTTTCCACCTGTACCCTCCCTACTGGCACTTGCTCTGAGAAAGAGAACAAGGGAAAGAAAGGAAGGGAATCACATTCATAAAAGACACAACTGTGTGTTAGGTACTTTCCGTATGTCTAATGCTTATATTGAGCTTCCTGTGTGCCAGGTCCTGGGCCAAGAGCTTTATTTTGATTGCCTTAATAATGACCTTAACAAGACTGAGTGAGACAGTGTTATCATCATCTCTGATGGAGGAGGAAACTGAAACTTAAATAATTTGCTCCAAGTAAAAAAGTTAATATGTGGCAAGAGGTAGGATTTGAACCCAGGTCTGTGTGACCCAGAACCACCTGTGTTCTTTTTTTTTTTTAAGACAGGGTCTCACCATATTGGTCAGGCTGGTCTTGAACTCCCGACCTCAGGTGATCCGCCTGCCTTGGCCTCCAAAGTGCTTGGATTACAGGAGTGAGCCACCACGCCCGGCCAGAACCTGTGTTCTTACCACCATATTTAATACTGCATTGGCACTATGTGACATAGGTATCACTGTCCCCATTTAGCAATGAAGAAACTGAGGTTTAAGAAGTCTCAGGCCAGGTCACCCAACTGGCCAGGAGCAGAGAGACAAGTCCTCAGCAAGCCACTCTGATGTTGAGGCCTGTGTTCTCCTCCACCTGCCCTCTCCCTACAGCACAACTATCCTAATAAGCTAAGTGACAGGAATTCATGAGCAGTTCATCAATCTTATTTTCTCTTTTACACTTTAAATTTTATATCTTACATTAAAAGCAATTCAAAGTTGTTACTGAAATACTAAGAATGTAGGTAAACCTAACGGAGAAAATTAAAACACCCTTCATTCCACCTAACTAGAAACTGTTGTTATACTTTGATATTTATTCTTCCAGATTTTCGTTTTATTTATTTATTTATTTTGAGATGGAGTTTTGCCCTTGTTGCCCAGGCTGGAGTGCAGTGGCACAATCTTGGCTCACTGCAACCTCCACCTTCCAGTTTCAAGTGATTCTCCTGCCTCAGCCTCCCGAGTAGCTGGGACTACAGGTGTGCGCCACCATGCCCGGCTAATTTTTGTATTTAGAGTAGAGATGGAGTTTTACCATGTTGTCCAGGCTGGTCTCAAAGTCTTGACCTCATGATCCGCCCACCTTGGCCTCCCAAAATGCTGGGATTACAGGCACAAGCCACCGTGCTCAGCCCCAGATTTTTAAAAATGCCCATCCAGCTGAGGAACTATTTGTTAACATCCTCTGAACTTCTTCCAGGTCCATCTGAGGTCCTAGGTAGGAGGGACTCCTGTGATGCATCCTGCCCTGCTCTTGCCCTTCCTTTCCCCAGGCCTCTGTGGGGAAGGCTGAGGGGTGATCCAGGGCCACATGATCAAAGGTAGGATCTAAGCAGTGTAGCTGCTTAAGAGAGCAGATTCCAGAGACAACTGGCCAGGGAGTGAGGACAGGCTGCAGAAAAGCAGGCCTTCCCCCTTAGTCCAGAAGAGAGAGAATGGCAGGATTTACAGAGGAGGGACGGGTGATCTGGTAGAGGAATGACCGGGGACTCCAGCACAATCACGAGCACTGTGACCTGGTTCCACTGGAACCTGAAATCACCATTTGTTCTGGGAAAGCGAAGGTTGGAGACGAAGCCTCCCTTCTTCTGGTCAGAGAGAAGAGAGAGCCTCTCTCCAGGATCCACAAGGAAAGACCTGCTGTCCAGCCAACCAGGAAGACAAAGCAAGAAGGCTGCTCCCTGCACCCCTCCACCATCTTACTTAACCCTCACCACCCCAGAAGGGAGGGTTGGGCACCACAGAGAGATTATATTCCTTAAACTAATTGGTGGCAGAACTGGGATTCTCGCTCTGATCTCTCCAAATCTGAAGCTGATTCTTTTTTTGTCTTTTTTTTTCCTTTTTGTGGAGAATGGGGTCTCACTATATTGCCCAGGCATCTAACTCCTGGGCTGGCTCAAGCTATTCTCCCACCTCTGCCACCCCAAGAGCTGGGATTACAGGCGTAAGCCACAGCGCTCAGCTGCTGATTCTTTTGTGCTAAACAGTAATGTCCCTCCCTTCCCTGAAACCCTTCACCATCCACCCTACTGGAAGAAGTATGGCAGCTAAGAGTTTCAGGGCTTGATTGGTATAGGGCTGAGGACCTGAATTTAGGGGTGATCTCGTTTTCCCCCAAGTTCTCAGGGGAACCTCTCATGAGGGCACTAAGAAAAGCTACAATTCTTTTCATCTTGGGACCCTGGGGCCAAGACCATGGATCCTGTCAAAAAGGAAAATGAAAACAAGCTGCAGGGCAGGGTGCAGTGGTTCACACCTGTAACGCCAACTCTTTGGGAGACCTAGGCTGGTGGATCATTTGAGCCTAGGAGTTTGAAACCAGCCTGGTCAACAGAGTGAGACATGGTCTCCACAATTTTTTTTAAATTTAGCCTGGTATGATGGTGAGTGCCTGTAGTCCCAGGCTGAAGGGGGAGGATCATTTGAGCCCAGGAGGTTGAGGCTGCAGGCAGTGAGCCATGATCGTGCCACTGCACTCCAGCCTAGGCAACAAAGCGAGACCCTGTTTCAAAAACAATACAAGCTGAAGCCAAGCGGACAGGAGGGATGGCCACAAATGGTCAGAGTCCTTTATCCTCTCAGGGTCTCAAAGCTTGCAGAGGTGGAACTACGACTCCAAAGTCTTGGGTCTCCTTTCCCTTTGAAGACTCCCCTCCCTACCCCCACTCATGAGAGAAAGGGAATCATCCTCCTTTTCCTAAGTAAAAACTGAGGTCTCAGACAGTGGAGAGCACTCAATGTGAGATCCTAAGATTAAGGCAGATGGCCTGGCCTTGCACCGAGCCCCTCAGACCACCAAACAGCTTGGCATTGACATTCTGCTGTTAGACAAGGAGCTAGAGAGAATTCAGAGTTTACCTGCCACAGGCTTCCAAAATCTCAGGCCAGAGAACCTAGAAGGTGGGATAGATGGGGGTGATTTCCACCCCACTCTACCCTGTTGCCGACTTATGGAGCACTTTGGAACCACCAGCAAAGCACTGAATTAGGGCC